CGGTAGTGGCTCTGCAGTCCTCATTGATGACGAGGGCATATAAAGTTGAAGCTACGTCATCTTCACAATTAGTGCCAGGGGCATGGACGCTAGACAGGCGATTAATTAATAACGTTGCAAATACCGACTCAAACCTTTCGGGTGTAGGGTTGGTGTTGCGACAACCATGACTCCTGACTGAACCGAAAAAATTTTCTAGTGGATCTTGATTTAGGTGCCGCATCCAAATTGAGTTCACCTCATATTTTTTACCTATAATATTAATCAATGTCTCAATGCCATCTAGCGTCCATATCCAATTGCTTAATGTTGGAACATATTCAATTTTATCCCCTTTAATGAAATTCATTTCTTTTAACATTTCTTTTGATTCCTGCCAAATTTTTTTGTGAACAGATGTATGCGTAACAGGTTGTAGAGCCGGCTTTGCATATCGGTATTTTTTTTTGTAGCTGCCATTCATGGTATCAAATAATGTGTCAAAAAATAGCAAAATGTAAGCTGTTTCCTTACATTCCTGAGGGATAACATCATTATCTGAAACAAAATATAAATTATCAAAATCAATACTTTATCTTTCGTCTAAAAAAATCTAAGAACCGGTACGTTTATTAAACTAGAAAGAAAGATTTAAAAATTTTGATGTTTTATTATTGGGAGTGCTTTAAATCTATAACGTATTGAACTGAATACATGGTACCCATAACTCACTAATATTAGAACTGATATAACAAATAAATATTTAATCTGGTGTCATGAGATTTCAAGATTACAACTCTTTAAGCTTGAGAGAATTTATTTATTTTCTTTTTAAAATATTTTGTCCTAAGTATTACATGTTTCTAGGAAACAATCATTCAATTTGTGACAAGCTGGTACCTAATAGGCCAAAAGAATATCAAAATGTAAGTAGTTTATTCTCATTAAATAATTGTTATTACTATTATTCTATCTATATTGTCACGCATTTTTCCTGGCGGGGAAGGCAGATACCACTTCTTTCCATTCTTTACGATCCTGACATACTTTTCTCGCTTCCTCCACACGAATCGACCTTTTCATTGAAGAACGCCGCGGTTTAGTGTACTTTTGACTTGGCCTTTCTTTAATACGTCCGCGATTTGGTCGTGGTACATTCGTAGGTCTTCCCCTTCCAGTATGCCCTGTCACACTTGCCTTATATATCTCCTTTCACTCATCCTTTCAATGTGGCCAAACCATTTAAACATCCCTTTTTCAATCTTTGTCAAAGAAGATATTTCGTTCATGCCACATCACTCTTTTATCACACTGTTAAAAACTCTGTCACTCATGACCTAATTTCCCTTTTTTGTCAATGCATGCGTCTAACTAAATAACATTAATACATACCAGCTAGAAATCCCATATGAGAGGCTACCGTCTGACTAAAAATTTGTGTTGCATATTTCACTTTCATTTTGCTAATTTTGGCTGGCTTTACATGGTTCTCTGTAAGTTTGGGCATCAATCTTATCCCTTCGAATGCTGGACACTTATCATAAAGACATTCTATATGAGACCATTTGGCAATTCTTGTTTCCTTTTCTTTTTTGTACATTAAATTTTTCACCAGCAAATTATTTCGCACACACTTAATCAAATGGGGTGGATCATAAAGAGGTACGATTTCAGACGAGTCTATTAAAAATATATTATTTTTTGGCTCTTCTCCTCTAGCTAGCCACATACCTCTCGACTCTTGTATTAAATATTTTATTGCATTTCTATTGCCAGAGCCTTGGTCACAGACTGTCGCCACCACTGTAAAACCTGCTTCCGATATTTGTTTTATAAATAACTTTATTTGTTTGGCCAACTCGGGACCTTTTGTTGCTGACTGCGAAAATGTGTAGCCAATAGGCTGCTTATAATTTTTGACCAAGCCCCGAATCATAAATACCTGGGCATGGTCAGCAAATTCTTTAGTGATTTCCTCACCATTATTTACAAAGCCAATAATTTTATCTAATCTTTCATTGTATGTAATGTTAGCTTTCAATGCCATTTCATCAAATAATAAAACACAAAGTTTGTCAGATGGCTTCATATGTTGGGCCTTTTTTGCCATCTGTGAAAAAATTTTTTTATTTATACCTGGCTGTATATTGGCTGCAGATATTAGTTTTATTAATGTTGGAGGAGCTGGTAGCACAAAGATTTTTCTTAAAAACCTATATCCTTTAGGGCTTTGTTTTAGTAGTGATAAAGCCACAATTTTTTCCTCTAATGTGAATCGTCTCCCTTTACCCTTCTTTTTCGTTTCTCGTAATTGCAGCATGGTGAGAATTTTCGCATTTTTGGGGAGATTTTCCAAGGCTTTTAGAGCTGAAGAGTTTGCCATAATATTTTTTGCGGTATTAATAGCTGCTGCCTGCTTCTTTATTTTATTTTCACATTTTCTCAACTTAGCTCTAGTGGCAATGAGTTTTCTGTATAATTTTAGTTCAGCAAGTGACTTGCTTTGTATTTTGAAAGTTGTTTTTGTATCTAAACGAAAAAAGAAAAGAATTAAAGCAGTAAGTTAAAGCTTGATTTTTGTGAGAATATTTTGAGTACTGTGAAATAGAGTATGAATGAAATGATTATTCCTTTTATTGAACATTTGTTAAATTTTAAACTATGTTTGTATTATATAACAGAGATTTATAAGTTATAAAATACCTTTTGAAGTAGATGGTATACACTCAATGACATTTTCTTCGGAGCCCAACAGTGTTGTTCTTGATTTAATTTTGTCTGAAAGTATTATATATATCATAATTAATCTTAATTTAGAATGTTTCAAAAAGCTTGTTATAAAAAGTTTACTTACGACTAGATGTTGATTGTTCTTTAGTTAAGGAAAATAATTCCTTAGTATGATCAATTGCTATTGTATGTTCATCTGAAAAAAAAATCCATAGTATATTTATTTACATAAGAGCTTAATTTGGAATAGCTCACCATTTGTTATTAAAATAAATTTTATTTTATAGCAGTTAAATATAAACTAAAAACATTAAACAATTATAAGCCAGTGTTTATCTAGTGTAAATTGAACCTCAAAAACTTCATTACAGCTACCCCGTGACTGACCGTGATTGTAATCGTTTCAGCACTAGTACTGGTGTTGAAAATACTGATTTTCTAACCCACCTATAGACCCTGTGTAAACTTTATCCATAACCATATTACTAAAATATTATCCTAATACAAATTGTTAAGTTAGTCATTTTAGTGCAATTGAAATTAATCTACATTACAATTAAATGAAACTGCCTTTAAATGGTTTCATTGTCTTTTTTCAATAAATAGCTTAATCTTATGTGAACACTGAACCTGTAAAGGGTCTGAAACTTCAATACAAACATGATGAAACCATTTAAAAGATGTTTCATTTATGAATAGAGCGCATGAAATTATAAGAAATCAATACATTACAATTAAATACCTTTTGAAGTGGATGGTAGACTTTCAATTATATTTTCTGTAGAGCTCAATGGTCGTTTTCTTGACTGACACTTATCTGAAAATAATAATGTACTTCGTTTTGATTCAGAAATTGAAATTCAAGAATTAGCATAAAATAATTTACTTACAACTAGATGTTGATTGCCCGTCAGATTTATTTTCCTTTGATTGCTCAACATCTGGTATGTGTTTAACTGAAAACAAAAGTCTCTTGAAAAATTAAGAACATACAAACTTATTATGGATAACGAGTTTGAAATAGCAATCAATCTCAATCGAAATTAATGGAATGAGGAAAAGATAAATATGTAATTCCTAAAGTTTAGATAATATATCGTTAAAAAAATTACCTGGCACATTCAGAGTTGGAATTGCAATGTTAGAAAGCCTATTGTTCCGACAGTGAAATTTTTTCTCAAAATGTGCATGACACACACGACGATATTTATAAACAAATTCGTCAGGTAAATCTAGTATATGTCCACCCACAGACGATCTCCAAGATTCGAAACGCTCTGTTTCTTGTTTTGGATGAGGAAACAAGTGGAGTACAGGACATGAAACTGCAAGAGAGAAATACAATTATGTAGAAATAAGCACGGAGACAATGTTTTAGCAATAGAATCTTTAAATGGAATTCATTTACGAACCACCACGAGCCTCAGAGCACCCAGGTACACAACACATTTTGTCAGATGGCATTATGGAAGTGATAAAGAGTCCTATCTCACAATAAATAAATCAATTTCACAATCAAATATTGTAGCACTACCGGAGGAGAGAACTCGACTCAACGGATTTACACAGAAGCACGAATTTAAGACTTAAAAACAGCAGAAACGCAACGTTCACAGCTCAGAAACCATGACATTAAATTGTAATTTTTGACATTTTAAATAAAACGTTTTTGGTAGTGTTTTTTTTATATATTTGTAGTGTTACTCTATTCAAACGTGTTTAATAACATTTTTCAAATATTGTACCTTCATACGATAACGATTTCATAAAAATAAAGGTAGTTTTATTTGTGTCAAATTTATCGATACTAAAGTTTTCTGTAATTCTTTAGAAGAAAAGATTAAATGGAAGTTCTGTTAGAGCTAAAATTGTACCAAATAGAAAAAAAAATTAAAGAAGGGCTACATTGTAGCCCATAATAATGAAACTAAACTAAAAAGGTCATTGTTAGTAAAGTTTATGAGTGTTCTTTTGTGACAACTCAATTAAATAATATAATAGCGATACTATTGCCATCTATACGCGTGAGTGGTCAACTAATGTCCATATTATGAGACTAAATTAAAAAATAACATATTATATTCAAACGTATGCGGATATCGATCAATTTAAATTAACCATCTTATTTCGTTGTAGAACCTAATACTTTGTTCTGAGTTTAACGTCCCTGAAGCATTCTTTGATGTTGATCGAAGTTGTAATGTGTGAAAAATGATAACTTTTTGATTAATTGCGATCTATTTTAAAGTGTTACATATATTATTTTAAGACAGCACCTACTTAATATGACCGCAATATCTTTTATAAAATCCACCAAAGGCAAGGTTATATTAGCCACTGTTGCTGCACTTCACATTACAATTTTTGTGGCAAAACCTTCGTTTTTCAAGGGCGAGAGCAGAACAAAACCACAACCTACCGCGCCTAAATACATGCCTAGTGATAACTAAAAGACCTTGAAAAACCAATTACCACAAAAAAGTGTATGGAAAAACTAGTAAAGGAAAAACTATATTAATACATGATTCATAAAAGAACTGCCGCATTTTCTCGTAGTGTAGTCTACTGTAAAGAGCTCGTCAGAAACATGAGTGAACTAATAAAACACAGTGTTTATGTGACTCGCTCTGATATGCCTAATGTTGGGATAGACTTATTAAAAAGAGAGTAAGTTTATAACCAATATAGACAATTTTTTGTTTCAGAAACTATACAAACCTTTTAAGACTAGCTAATTCATAACTTTTGATATTGACAGGTGTAATGTTAAAATATGGGATAAGCCATCACCAGTTCCCAGAGCAGATTTTCTAAAAGAAGTTGTTGGCACAAATGGTATTTATTGTGCTTTAACTGATAAAATTGATAAAGAATTATTGGATGCTGCTGGACCTAACCTTAAAGTTGTTGCAACAATCTCGGTGGGTTATGACCATATAGATGTGCATGAATGCAAGAAAAGAGGAATCAAAATCGGATATACACCTGATGTATTGACAGACGCAACAGCAGAACTAACTGTAAGTTAGATAATTGAAGGACATTACTTAATTTTAAACACAATATTTTGACAGATCTTATCTTTTGTGTGAATTTATCCCTTATGTCATGTTTTTTTCTAATTATAAGTATTAGACAGTTTTTTTAATTATATCATTTTCTTTCAGCTTGCACTACTTCTTTCCACATCACGACGTCTTCCTGAAGCTCAGCATGAAGCTCGGACCGGTGGATGGGTCTCATGGGCACCTACATGGATGACAGGACCTGGTCTTGCTGGTTCTACTGTTGGTATTGTTGGTTTTGGCCGAATAGGTCAGGCAGTTGCTCGAAGAGTCAAAGCATTTAATACTTCAAGAATCCTATACTTCAACCGCAGTGAAAGGCCAGAAGCTAAAGAAACAGGTGCAATTAAAGTGAGCTTTGATGATCTCCTTAAAGAAAGTGATTTTGTTATTTGTTGTGCTGCTCTTGTACCAGAAACCAAAGAAATATTTAACAAAACTGCTTTTGACAAGATGAAAAATACAGCTGTTTTTATTAACACCAGTCGAGGTGGGACAGTCGACCAAAATGCTTTGATTGAAGCTCTGAAAACCAACAATATAAGATCAGCAGGTTTAGATGTGACCACACCTGAACCACTGCCACTAGACAGCCCCTTATTTAAATTAAAAAATTGTGTTATTTTACCTCATATTGGTAGTGCTTCTATTGAGGCTAGAAATATAATGAGCGAGCTCACAGCTAATAATATACTTGCAGCACTTAATGGTAAAGAGATGCCTGCAGAATTAAAATAATGAAAGTCAGATAAAAATAAATGTTATATTGCATTTTAAGTATTTATCAAAATAGAAATACTATTTTCGTTTAAAAATGTTTTTTATTTATAATAGTGTCCTTAAAATTAATCATTATGTTCATGTTGTGCCTCAGATTCTCTCCAGTTATTTTGAACCATCTCAACAATCATCTTCCACCATTTAGATTGCATAAAATAATAAATTGAACATATAATGATAAACAGCCAAGAGAGAATGAGAAAATAATCTGTGTCTTTTTCAACTACACTTGATACCGGGCCTTGGAAATCTTTGGAAGTTACAAGTAATCCCTGGGGTTGCTGTCCTGTGATAGCATGAACAAATTTACTAAAAGACTGGATATTATATTCTGTGCCATTGAATTTCCCTACTGGTCTACCATTGTGGAACATTTTCAACGTAGGTACTCCTACGATACCATACTGTGCATTTATACCATGATATTTCAAAGCATCAAGAGCTACCATCTTGACATTTGGGTAAGATCTTGCTAATGCATTGTAGTATGGTGCAGCATGTGCACTGAATGGACATGCTCTTGCAAAAAATAGTACTAAAACACAGTCTGCTTCTACATCTCGACTAGTAATATCTGGATTTATTTGAAGCAATTTCGCTAAGTAGCTTCCATTTATAATCTCAACTGATGGTTCAAATTCTTCAATTTGTTCATATACAATATCTTTGCACTTGACAAGTTTCCTGGTTTCATTGATAGTCTGTGTGCTATTCTCAATGGTTATATTTGCTGATGTAACATGGTTGTAGAGATTCGTCAAAGTTTTATTCACGTCTGAAACAACATTAGATAGTAAAGACTCCGATTCGTCAACGTTTGGTATTTCATGGACTGGCTGTTCAGTGGTCTCTAAAGGCACCTCATCTTCTACATCGAATTGTGTCGTTTCAGTAGCGAACCCTAAAACAACAAATTGCAATTAATGATTAATTAAAAGGTGAAAACTAGGAAATCAATACTACTATTAAACATAAACAGTCAAGATAAAAAGTAATTACCAATCACAAATAATAACACTATGGCGTATTTCAGTGTAAGTGTAACTGGATATAACATAATTATATATCAACGTCCACGGGACATCCAAATAAATTTATATAATCACATACACAGAATTATCAATCATCAGTTTTAAATTTCTTTTCTTTACCGATAAAAATCATGTTTGTTTTGCGGGGAATGACATTGACGTTTAGCTTAGGGATGCAGCGACATATGGGAAAACATATATCGATATCGAATAGCGATGGACGTTATTCGCGGTAGACAGTTATTCAACTAGTGATTTGCCTAAACCGCGATCACTCGTGATTCAGTGATACAGTAACTATCTATTTTCCATAAGACTTTTTAAGTAAAGCTGAATTCACTCTTAAATAAATCACTTGTTCTACTCGCCTCACAATAACCTGCGATCACCAAGTAGCGATCACAGTTCGCAGCGATAAAAAGTCATCTTTATAAGATCAACGCTTTACATTGACGGTTACGTAATTCAATTTTAATAACGTAACGCGTAATATAGACCGTTTTAATAATATAGATCGCAAACAATGCAACCTGTCATGTGTGAATGAAATAACAACAGGATGTCAGTATACGTGTGAATAAAATAGGCATATGTTTGTTTGTTCGGCTTTCGGAGTGATAGTGAAAGTTAGACAATAGAGAGTATCACAGATGATGTATTTCGGTTGCCTCTATAACAACAAATACTATAAAAACAATAAAATAAATATATAAGGGAACTCCCATACAACTGACGTGATCTTTTTGATCGTTTTCGGTACCTTTCGTGCACGAATTGACTCGCACTCAGCCGGTTTTAAGGCTAATTAATTTGCAAATATAACACATGTATTCATTAAATATTTTAAGTATTTGAGCACAAAAAATAAACTAATGTTCAACTACTTTAGTAGACCCAAATAATGAAAACCTCTGTAGTTTTTATAATTATTTAACTTGTAAACGCAAGCAAAAAAGATATTAAAATTAGTTTCGATAGCGAAAAAACACAAAATTGTAACAAAACGCAAATATTATGGAAATATAGGTACTCTAACCAACTACTAAATTAAAGAAAACAATATAAATATCTCATATTCTACTGTTAAACAGTATGCAATAACTTAACTATTATACGTCATTCAATTAAAATGTTCCAAATAATATCTTTTATTCAAAAAAATACCAAATACAAACATTTATCAACTTACACAGCTAATTCGCTCACTGAACAGTACAGTGGCACAACTCAAAAACCATCCCATAGATAATTTAAAGAAAAAATATAAAACTTAACAGTTATAATCTTAGGTAAGTACTTTCTCTCTCTACGGTTATAATATAATACAAACGATTTAACTGTTATGCTAAAAAAATTGATTTTCATTATGGTTTTTGAGTTGTGCCACTGTACTATTCAGTGAGCGAATTGTAGCATTTTATTATTTCACCAGAACAATTCTTCATCAAATGTTATTGAAAATTGCGCAAAATTTTGATAAAAATCGGAAAAAAATAAAGACTACAAAAAGTACAGTAGCGTCATCTAGTGCTCAGTAGAGGCAGTGAAATATAACATTTCGTAATATAAATAATTTAATAATGTATTTGGAAGCCCTAGGGCGGCTAACCGCTTGTTAAAAAGTTCGCGTACATCTAACCATCTTACACGTGCTAATTAGGAAAACACATGATAGTCTAAGATCCCACTGCAAAATCACTACGTTCATCGCGTAGTTAATCAAACTCACATTTTTACATACATTTATGAATAGGAGAATACATTGATAACGATCTGCCAGTCAATAAGTAGCCGCAAGTAATTTTAATAAAATTAATGTTAATTAATTTTCAAAAAAAAAATTCGTTCATGTTTTTTAAATAAAATATCATCCACATCATAGCAATATACGTAAAGAATTTCAAAATCGATAGGTGCCGTTGTACAATCAGCCGTAATACGTTGCAGCCAGGTGTAAACAGGTAATATTTTGGTGTATTTATACGTTCATAACGTATACGCATGTTTTTTATATAAAATTAAAGCTATTTTTTTTTTAATATGATGATATAACGCTGCCTGTGAACAAATGGCCGCAAATTAAAGTTGCTAGCTGTTAAAGACTCGAGGTATCCGTGATAAAGTGAAAGAGAGTTAGCGCGCAACTCTCTTGTTAGACGAGGATGGCGGGTGTCAGCTGTGCGAGTACACAAAGCCATTGCGCATTCGTCAATAAATAGGGTTCTCAGCGATGCAAATAGTAGTAGAAATGACTTTACAATTACTCCAAAATTATAATTAAGTAATTAATATTCTGGAAAAAAAAATAAAAAATAAAAAAAAAACATTTAGGGTCAAGTGGGTAATTGCGAGGATGATAATTAAAATTATAAATTCAATCTCATACTACTAATTTGTTTCTGAGAGTAAGGAATTAAAATTTACGTCTGTTATTAAACACATATTAGTCTATTATTCCAGATATTTAATAAAAGAAAATAATAGATTTTCAGAAAAATGAGACTCAAATTTAAGTACTACGTCTCATTATTACATTTTCCCCGTCAAAAGGGGCAATTGTAATAATCTCATCAAATTTTCTAACATAGTATAAACATTAAGTTCTGGGGCATTAGCAATAAAAGCGCAAAAAAGTATTTAAAAATTGATTTTTATTTCAGTGAAATCAGACAATAATATCCTAAGTTATTAACTTTTCTTAAAATAGTATTTCAACCTGTTAATTATACTCAAAAATATTACAAATCTAAATTACAATATAATCATATTTCTGAACTTAAAATCAAATGATATTATTCCACGTTTGGTTATTTCAGGGTAAGGCAATATCTGAACGATAGATTCACGGGTAACATGATCAATATCATCGATTATTGGCCATGCGAAAACGCTGCCCTTGCGTCTTACAAATTTTACCTCCCACCGATCGCCCACGGTTTTCTGAACAACGCCTACATAATGCTTGATGCCTTTTTTAAATGCATATTTAACGATCACCCATTTGTTGACCACCGTTTCTGTAAGTTCTTTTCTAGCTCTCAGTTCCCACGTACTCTACTCCTCGCTCTTTAGTTGCTTTTTTTGTCCCTTTTTCTTTTACTTTTCTATTTTTTTCCGGTAATTTCGTGTTTTGATCGTTTTCTTTATCAGAATTTTCATCTTCAGATTCTTCTATCCATTCACTATCATCAGACTCAGCATAAGATACTATACCTTCAGAACTTTCATAGCTGTCTGAATCATCAGATTTTTTCCTTTGTAGTTTCTTCTCCGGTTTCTTTTTCTTTTTTTGTTTTTTAGTCATATTTTGTCTCGTTTCCACAGATTCCGCATCAGTTAGGTCATCATCTGATATATCTTTTAGCTCTTTTTCTTTCTTTCCTGATTTCTTTGCAGTCTTTACTTTTTTGGGTGCTTTTTTTTGGTCTTTATTTTTCAATATTTCAAGCATTTCAGCAGACGTAATAACTTCAGCGCCTGAGGCAACTTTTCTTCTTTTGAGTTTATTAGGTAGGTGTTTTTGTTGAATAGTTGACAAAATCAATTGTTCTAGAGATGCGGTTTGTAACGTTTCCATATTACAGGTTACGTTTTCTTGAGATTTTGTTGTTTTTGGTGATATTGTGGTCGGTATTAAGCTGTCATTAGGCGTTTGGGGAATTGGAGGCACTACAGGAGTGGACGATCGTGTTGTTGAAGGTAGTATCGATGGCGACGGGACGCTCTCCACGTCTTCTGAAAGTTCCATATCATCCTACGCATCTCTTTCGGTTTGTATTTTATGTGTCTCCCAGCGCACTAAAGCTTCTTTTTGAAAATTCTCCCTCGGAATGACGTCGCCATTGAATGGAAATATGCCAGTCTTTTTGAACCCATTCTTGATAACATCTTCGCTGACTTTGACCCAAACATCTCCTATGAATTGCGAAAACATTGATTTTGGCAACTTTTGGCCAACGTGTTGTCGTTGCCAGGTCGCAACTATTTGGTCCCATTTCTGTTTATAAGACTTGAAAACTGAAACATCCAATGGTTGAAGAATGTCACTAGTGTGAGCTGGCAATTTCAAAATTGTGATACCTTGGTCCAAAGCATATTCCACCAAATCAAGCGACACATGAGTGGAGTGACCGTCATATATAATTAATTGAGGTCGTTGTTCGCCCAAAGCAGGTACGAGCGTCTTCATAAAGTAGCTTTTAAATATCCCTGTCTCCATCCATCCATTGGGCGTCGCAGCATAAGCTGTACCGGGAAATTCTTTATCAGACGATGCTTTCCACTGATCCCACATGTTTTTTCCTTTAAAGATTATTAAAGGAGGCACTCGTTGACCCGCAGCATTGCAAGCTAAAACAAAAGTCGTATTTTCTCTACCAGGAGTGCTAGTAACTCGGGATGAGCTTTGGCCTTTTTCTCCAACGACTCTTGATTTGGATGGGTCGATACTAAGGCTGCTTTCGTCCAAGTTCCAGATACGTTCTGGCTTATCTTCCAGGTCTAGGTCAACCAAAGTCTTTTTTAAAAGCTGGAAGTACCCATAGATAGTAAATGGATCGGTAGCAGCTTTTTTTCTCGCATATTCTAAGGGTTCTGGTTTTCGGATTGATAGTTTATATCGTTTCTTGAAATTGAGAAACCAGTCCTCTCCAGGGATACCATCTTTGAATGGTGTTTTAATTACATTCATAGAAACAAACTGACCAACCAACTCCATTATTTCTTTACGACTGAGTCCAAAGCCCCATTTTGCCAGAGTTTTAACAGAAACGGCTAAAACGTTTTCAATATTTTCAGGTAGTGCAGTTCTTCTTCCTTTGTTTTTTTTTATAGCTCCTCGTGTGCCTTTGTTTCGACAATATAGGGTTGAAAAAGGGATTCCGTACAAAACGGATGCCTTATGAATTGAAACTCTTCCAGCCCGTATGTCTTCGAGAGCACGATTTAGTTTTTCTTCAGAATATTTGGGTCCCGTATCTTTCTTTTTAACATAATTTCGCACCATCTGGAAAGAGGGGCAAATGTAATAATTTTTATATTGCAATTACCCCAAGGCAGCAAAATTCTGGGGCAAATGCAATAGCGACTGTACCATGTAAGCTACACCAGATATCTTCAAAATACATTATTAACATAACAAAGCAACACAAGATATTACCACAAAACAAAAAATTGATCAAAAACTTACGTTAAAAAACCAGACGAAATTCGATGAAAAGTTAGGTTATAAATTTTTCGTACCACGTTGCTTGGAGGCCTGCCACAAAATGTTATGTCACTCATTGGTATGTCGGTAAAACAGTATCGACATGTAATCAGCTTTGAGTTGAAGTGATACTTGCGTCGTTTAAGAGATGGCAGCACCGTTCGGAAAACATTGAAGTTAGACAAGGTTATGTTATTACATTTCCCCCATTATTGCAATTACCCCACTTGACCCTAATTGATAATAAAAAATTGTTTATTGATTAAGTAAAAATGAAAAAAAGCGTATTTATGAAGAATAATATTTTGGTTACGTTTTATTTTATTTACAAAAAATATACTACGCCTATCATATACGGCTTTAAATACTCGCACAGCTGACATCCTCCATCCTCGTCTAACAAGAGCATTGCGCGCTAACTCTCTTTCACTTTATCACGGATACCTCGAGTCTTTAACAGCTAGCGACTTTAATTTGCGGCCATTTGTTCACAGGCAGCGTTATACCATCATATTAAAAAAAATAGCTTTAATTTGATATAAAAAACATGCGTATACGTTATGAACGTATAAATACACCAAAATATTACCTGTTTACACCTGGCTGCAACGTATTACGGCTGATTGTACAACGGCACCTATCGATTTTGAAATTCTTTACGTATATTGCTATGATGTGGATGATATTTTATTTAAAAAACATATGAACGAATTTTTTTTTTGAAAATTAATTAACATTAATTTAATTAAAATTACTTGCGGCCACTTATTGACTGGCAGATTGTTATCATTAATGACCGGATAATATGCATTTGCATATTTGCATATGCATTTGCATATTTAAGCCATTTTCAAGGCTAATAGCATATTTTTACTAAGATCTAGTGATGATGCATATTATTGCTATAATTTACAGTAGGTATTTTTCGAGAGTAGCGCACTCGGCAGCCGCGCGTCTTTTGTTTTGGTAGGTACTCATAAATTGAAAGAGACAAATGATCGCATACCCGAAAGTATTAAAAAGCTTGAAACTCACGGTTTGGCATTGAATGAATCTATTCAAACCACAGAAAACAGAAACCTCTTTTCCGTGTTCTGTGATTTAAACAATGAATAAAATCCGCTATCTTAACTCCATGTTGCCAAGTACGTCGCCGCATAAACTCAAAGAAAAGTTTGAAAACATTTTGAACAATAATTCAGGCTTTGAACATCTGTGTCAAATTGATAGCTTTATTAATGGACCGACGGAAGTTTTCCCAGAAAATATAAGCGCTAACATAGCACCCAAGTTCAAATTCTGCCCAGTTACCTCAGTAGATGTGGAGCGATCATTTTCGACCTACAAAAATATTTTGAATGATCGAAGACATAATCTTACCACTGAACATTTAGCACAATACTTGATTGTTAATGTTTACAAAAATATTAAATAATGTAACATGTTACTGTATCGATAAACATCTATCAATGGATAGTTTACTATAAATGTATGCTGATTTTTTAATAAAAAATTTAAAACTTAATAGTTTTTTATTTTATTAAAAAACAATAAATTAAAAAGATACATACATAATAAAGTAAAACATAAAACAAGTATTTACTAACAAAAAACTTAAATCTAAAGGAATAATATTTACAAAACAAAAAAATAGTCATTTAATGTTTCTTATTCTGTCAGTTTTCGTGCATATTTCAGGCATTTTTCATGCATATTTGCATGCATATTTCAAGCTTTTTATGTTGCATATTATCCGGTCTTTAGTTATCATTGTATTCTCCTATTCATAAATGTATGTAAAAATGTGAGTTTGACTAACTACACGATGAACGTAGTGATTTTGCAGTAGGATCTCGTACTATGAGTTCTTCTAGTGATGAAGATATAAGCTGCACTCCTGGTTCTGCAATAAAATGGAAGCTAAAGCAGCAATTAACAATATTTTGCGTGAAACTTCTAAAGAGATATTTTAACTACCTCACAATCGAGATGTAAAGCAGAGTAGTTAGCTCGAGTGTAAGCATCCATTGCACCCTCGAACGCTCGAGGCGCACAAGCGCAGCGAGGGGTGGAATTGATGCCTTACAGCCCTTGGCTACTAATCTACTATTATTTTCACTCAACACTACAGATTAAATGTGCTGCAGTTATGTAAGTATAAGGTTGGCATTAGACCGTTCATCATTCACTTGAGACCCTTCAACGGGCCCCAAGGCAAGCTACGCCACTGCTGGTCCTGCAGATTTAATTACGTAATATAAAATATGTCATGTCAATAATCAATGCAACATCAGTTTTAAGTATGATATACCTCTTCATCATCAGCCCTTTATTTCGTCCCCACCGCAGGGGCTCAGGCTTTCCTTATGGATGGTTAAGGAGCATGGGCCATGACCCTCCCCGTTGGCCCAATGCGGATTGGCGGGTCTTAACGACTACAAATGCAGCCAGGACCAACGGCTTAACGTGCCTTCCGAAGCACGGAGCAGCTCGAGATAATAATTTTTTGGTCACCCATCCAGTGACCGACCCTTGCGAAAGTTGCTTAACGACAACGATCGCGTGCCGCGGCGCTTATCCACTACGCCACCGAGCTACTTGCCGGTTCGCGATCCAGAGTTCAAAACACTGCCGACCGCCTATTTCCGACCACCGTCCTAGAGTTTCGTGAACCAGAAAATGCCAGCAAAGGCTAATCTAATTAGTTCTCTAGTCTAGACAGTAAAAGCTAAGTGATAAAACGATAAGTGTTAGTTGAGGGCTTCCAAAAAGAAATATACTTTTACCTAGAAAATTTATTTATCTCCGTGGTAGGGCTGGGTATTTGATACTGGTATTAATATAATAGTGTTTCGAAATCTTAGAAAAGACTGCACTAGTATAATAACTCATTATTCAAAACTTATATAAGATGTAATAGGTGTGTAAAAGGTGTATTTTCTTCGTAAGATGGATGAGTTAAGTCGATTGTACCACCTTTTACAATGAGAGCAACACTGAATTCACAAAAAAATAATCAGCTGTTTCATAAAAAAAGAAGAAGTAGAAGCCCTGGCACATTATATAAACAATTAACAATTACATATCAATTAATACAAAGTAAACAGTATGCAATTGGCAGAGGTATCGTTTTTGAAGGCGACATGATGAGTAATAAGACATTGCACAAAGTTTGAGACAGCAAGCATGATGCAAGGCGACCTTGCAGCTCTTAGGCAGGTCAAGCGCAGCAGCCCTGCTGCAGGCCTCTGTCGATCGTAGCTCGTAGTGGAATATTTAGAATGTCTCCTGTGACGTTGCCGTCTCGCTCGTAATATTGTTTTATTCCGTTTATTCAGAGCTGGGTGGCGCAGGCGGCGGCCGGCAGTTGCCGCGCGACCGCCGCCACACTCCTTACCTCGCGTAATATTACAAGAGTAACACGATAAATGTTTTTTTGAATAATCATATAAAGTTGACTAGCTCGAGACAATGGCTTATTCTTGGGATAACAGAGTCGCCTTCGTTGTCCGATATCTTTACGGTAAGTTCATGAACATATATTGTTTTGTTTGTTATTATTTTCTGTACGACATCTATGAAAATAATTCATTCAGTTTATTGACAATACAATTATCTGACTGTAAGGAATATGTATTAAACATGTAGTTAAGAATTAAGGGTTAATAACCTATTATTAATCCTTATAAATCTACAGCCTATGGTGAACTAACACTAATGAACTGACTACCTGTATGGTAACTCTGGTGATATTTTAATACTGTTTTCTTATTGTATTCCAGACCAAAGACACGATATTTTTATTGAACAATCGTAACCCTTTAGTCGACCGAAACGTGAATAGTTGGTAAAAAATACTAAACTACCTTACTACTTGATTACTTTTCTAATACAGAAAGAATCTTTCGTGTAAAATATATCAACATCTGCAAATCCATAATCATTTTATTTATTATTAAGTTTATCATTAAGCAAAACTATGTAAGTTGTTAGCAAAGTCAAGACTTTTTTTTCTGTTTTTATACTGTTATTATTTATTTATTAGACTAAATAAAGGACTATTTTTGTCCTTTTTTAGTCTATGTAACGCATTGAAAAACTTAATCAAATTTACTTACCACGGAGGACAAAAAGTTCTTATAAAATAATATTTGAAAAAAAAAACCAAATATCAATTGACAAATAATATGTTTAAAATATGAAATACAATGCGTAGATTCAGTTTAATTTTTATTAGTGGTCTCACGGCGGATGTCGGTCGAAAGTCGACCATAAAGCTTGAACATTGTTGTATTATGTAAAGTTTTCTTTATTAATGTTATATATTTTTAACCTTTATGTATTATAAAAAATATTAGCATTATGCACTTCTTCACCGAATGGTAAACTTCGACTTTGCCAAATTTGATACTCATTCGTCCACGTGATTTTCTTAAAAAGTGAAAATTCAGGATTATTTCCATAAGCTATAGTTTTCAATAAGATTTTAAAGCAACGTTGCGACGTTTAACATGACGTGCCTTAAGGAACATAAGTTTCAATCCAAATTATGTATTTCAAGAAGCCAAACGAATGCCGCTGTAAAAATAAAGACTTTCTTAAAAATAACGCTTAAAGATACTCACGCTAAAGCTAATAAGTAGGTACAGTGAGTGGCAGTTGCACTACAGATATCGTTTAGAGACTAGACGAAACCAACCTTGTGTTTAATTGTGATGGACATGTATGATGATGTTTTTTCCCAATACATTCGTGAACTGACAGTATTAGCATTTTTTTAGTGTGGAAACTGTTTTGCTATAATCGAGAAAAGTACCTATACTAAATCTAAGGTAAGCGAAAATACGGTCAATAGGTAGATGAGCGATAAAAGTAAACGATACGTACGTAGGTATCGAACCCGCACAGGAACTGCATCGTTTCCGTGTAGTGCTGCCTGTTTTTGTACAGAGTAAGGGTCAGCGACCTATAGCCAGAGATGGCATATCTATAGCTTCTTGTACAAAAACATTTACTTCAATTTTTGTTCTCATGGTTTGTTTACGGTGACTTCACGGCTTATTATGAAATGTTTAGCTTGTTTGCCTGCTAATTTGTTTATGCTCAATTTCAGAGCTAGACCAAATAGAGTAGAAATAAGTACATTTACCTACAGTCACGTAAACGCAGTAATCTTATTTTGGCAGCGTTCATTCCAAATGAATTGCGTATGAAAAGTACCTATCTAGAATGTTAACTAACGACCAAAAAAAGGAACCAATTGACATAGGAAACTAAGCAAGGACAGGCGAATGTAACCAACTAATTCGTTCAACAAAGAATGATTTAGTCAAAATTTTCTATATTGACTGCAAAAGAAAAAGCAAACATTAACCATCAAACGCCTTACGACAGGCCTATGACGATTTTTTCATAACACCTGTTATAGTAATAATTCCTATTCTGAATTTTCTTCACGATAATGGAACGCTACATTATAACATACTCTCAATTTTCGTAGCGTCATTTAGCACCACGATGAAATTTCAATGATAACACGGAATTGTCCTATACGTTCAATAAATGATGTCTTAATTTAATATTCGCATTTTCAAATTTTAAAAGCGCTAGTACCAGAGGGAGTTGCTGCCCCGATTGCATTAAAATATATAATCATTTACTTATCTACTTCCAAAGTATAGATTCCGACAGTTAGACTACACAAAGTAACAAATCTGCACTACAAATTAAATAAAGATTGACAAACTTTCTATAAAGCAATAGTCAGTCTTGGATGTCTCTTTGTCTAGGGCCCAATTGCGACAGGAACCTGTAACTGCTTGGCATTCGCCCACAGCTATTGTTTACAAGCCCAGGCCAACAGGCCACTGAATGCCAATTTTCTCTATTGCAACATTGATCGAAATTAAAGCTTGATAATATATAATTGGAATCTATTAACAGATAGCTAATTGCAAACCGCTATTCTAGTTAATCGTCGAGACGAAACTGGCCGCTTATTTTTAGGCATTAGTAAATAAAATTCGCGTTATTTATTAGCTTTTGTGCTCGAGATATTCTTGACTCAACATAGTTTCTGGAACGATTTAAGTATACGTAGAGATGATGAAAAATGTTAATCCTGCTATAGTTTTTATATACCATCTTAAATTGGTTTCAAATACAGTGCTGCTATTAGTTTAACGAAGAGGTAACTACTAGAGAATAGATTTCAAACACATTTTATTTGTCTTTTTACCACTCACTGCTTGACTACTTGAACACAGATACCTAGTCGACGGGGTCAGCAAACGAAGCGCGGGCGTCCCCTGCGGGCTAATCTCATAGGTCAATAAAACAAAGAAAACAATGAGCCTCTGAATCGCCTACAATGTCTTTCTGTGTTCTGTGGCCCCAACCATATCGCGTACGATCGTTATACAACCAGTATAACTGAACCATTATTTCTTTGAACCAAGGTAAATGCGTTACATTATGTAGAGTGTCCTTATTGGATTCAGACCATCCATCCATAGTGAAGGTCTGAGCCCCAGTAGTGGGGACATTAATAAGCTATGAGGATGACGTTAGGGATAGTGAATACCTTCAGGCCCGAACGTAGTTACACATAAATATGAAACTAATAAATAATTTCATTGCCAGAGCTAATGCCCTATATCTGGCTTACTGTCTTGCTTAGGTATAGGCATGTATAGGTAATTTAACAAAATCTTTACTACTTCCAGATATCGACAACAATGGCTACCTCGACTCCCATGATTTCCAATGCCTCGCCCTCAGATCCTGCGTACTGGAAGGCAAAGGCGACTGCAGTGCCGCTCGCCTCCAGAAATACCAACACATAATGCTTAGCCTCTGGGAAGAGATCGCTCAGCTGGCGGACTACGACAAGGTGCCAGACTATGTCGGTTATCCCCTCTTTTACATATTACTACGCACGCTATATGTACAGCTTGGCGACATGCTTGGTAAGGCTTACGTGTGAGCCGATATTTTTTATGGTGAGATGCTTGATAATAATAAAGTTCGAATATCAAAGTATAAAAGGTCCACCTCCATTTATAGATGCTGAAACGATATTTTCGAATAACAACTCTTTTCTAAAACAGAAGACCCTAGTACAAGCTTCGCAAGACGCTTTAAATGTTGTTTTTATGTGATTTCGATAATTAAAAAGTTAAAACGTAACACATATAATTAATATAAAAAAATAATTACTTATTGGCTAATAAATAACATAATAATTTCATACTAAAACATGAGTCCGAATAGTGTCTTTAAGTGAGAGTTTGGAACAGGACCACACACGTTTTTCATTTTGATATCTATAACGACTAACTACTGTTGAACCTAATTTAGATAGAACTTGGCATTTAAGAATAGCATCTAGGAATAAATAGGTATTATTAAAATCAATACAGTAACACTGTGTTGCTTTTATAAATCTTCAAAATATAATTTTACAATATAAACTGTTACACTTTACAGTCCTAGATAAGCGCTTATTGGGGGCCAATTCTACTAAATAAATTTTGTTTAAATCGAATCGATAACGGATCGATACTGAAAGAAACTACGGTTTTTAATGGTTTTCCTATTCTACAAATCGACATACGATACAATTCCAGTTCTATTTTAGCTGGAATTGACCCCCTGTACTGCTTGTTTACTCCTGAGTATTGAGAATTAATGGAACCGTATTATTATTTCTTTCTATATATTCTGAAGCGTTCGTATGACGCACAATTTGACTGCATTTGCTTATGTATTTAGTTAGAAATAAATAAAATTCAACGACAAATATTACTTATAAGCTACCGATAACGATCAATTCGATAACACGGTTTTTAAGTAACCAAACTTAAGAAGCTAGATATCACACGTTTTGAGAGGCACGCTAAGCCGTTGTTCTCGGCTTCAGTCCGCACTGGGTTAGCAATTGTTGTACGCCGCAGATGGTAGAAACTGTGCCCCTTCAATGAAGATGCTAGTAACGCTTATAATGATAATGACTGCCATACGTACTAAAACTAAATCCAATTCTTTCGCTTCACACACCCAAAATATTTCAGGACGGCATGATCACCGTAGAAGAGTTCAAACAAGCTGTGAAGAATAGCTGTGTGGGCCGGAAGTACGAAGACTTCCCGCAGGCAATGAAAGCATTTATAGAGTCAAACTTCCGAATGATAGACATAAACTCTGACGGAGTAATCGGTATCGAGGAGTACCGCTATGACTGCGTGCAGAGAATGGTGTTGGAGGACATCAAGGTCATAGACGACGCCTACAACTCGTTGTTAAATGTAAGTATAAAATCCTGAATAATCCTTATTTGACTTTTAATTAAAGAGCTAGTTTTTATGAAAAAGAAGAAAAATATTCCGAGCTTCCCAATACGCGTTAGAATAACAATGTTGCTTAATATCGTCAAACAGTCGGATATTTAAACTATATTCAAATGACATAAACGTCGAAGTGATTTACTGAGGTATGACTATGATTTGATGATGGCCCACAAGACATTACGCGATTCTCTAAATACGATATGATGTAGGTGAATTTGGCAAACAGCTTGAAGTAGATTGATGTCAATGACGCGCCAATACCGTGAACCAATAAATAATGTATCATCGTCTGTTTGTTAGGTTACTAATCTATCGGTTGGTATAACTTTCGATATGAAAAATATTTATAAAGGTAAATTAATAGAATACTAATAAAGAATCCAACAAACAATAGATTTGTACGATTTGGAATCCGTCCAAGTGATGGCGTTTATAACAAAATTTGAAATAAAATCCCGCAAACTCTATCGTAAGTAGCAAAATAAATATTTTTTCCTAAAATCGTCCAAAAACAGGTACCGTAGTGACTACATTATAATTGTACTTATCTACCATGATATTGCTTCATAAACCCACCAAGATAACTGAAGGTATCGTTTCTATTGCAACGTTCCTAAGTGCCATTCTTATATTCAAAATAAGACACTATACTTACAGCACGAAATATCGTACAATGACATTTCGTAAAACCACGAAGAATTTAGGTGTAAAAATAAAATTATGCAACAGGGTTAATAAAACGTAATGGACCGCTTTCTCCTTGGCCTGAAGCCAAAAGGTAGGTTTTGGATTCATATTACCTACTAACCGTGAGCACCTTTGAACCCACTTTATTGAAATTATTCAACAACAAACTGAAATGAATAGCGTACATTAAAAATATATAACCTTTTTTCTTAGTAAGGACATTAGATACACTTCAGGTTTCCGAACTTACTGTTTCATTTTCAGTCTATAGACATGTTCGCAAACAAAATACCTACAGATATTTTAGATGCTGACATACAAAAACAACGCAACATTTAAGAACGAGAAAATGGTCAAATTAACAGATTTATTGATTCAGTACATAATCAATATGAGAAATAAAACAATTTTCCCGGACAATTCCCTCTTCTTCCACACGGCCCGAATTTCGATCGTGTATCAACATAATTAGAAAAGTTGCTGCGACTTCTTGACGTCATAATAAATGTTCCTCTGTTGGTTGACGCCGAGTTAATGCAGTTTTCACTTTTACTATTCATAATTCTAATTTAATCTGTTATGAATTTCATATAAACATTCTCAACTTTCTCATTTCAGGATGACGACCGTAGGAAAGGTGGTCTAACGCTAGCCAGGTATCAAGAGTTGTTCGCGATGTTTCTAGGCGATGAAAACGACGACAGTCCTTCAAAACACCTCTTCGGCCCATTAGAACTTTAGGGATTTGGGCTTAAACACATTACTGACTGACACACCTAAACTTAAATTTAAAATAAAAAAGAACAACGGAGATTGCTTCTTGCCGTCCCAAATCAGATGCATCGGCCATCGATATTATTTTCGTTCAGTTTTACATATTCATCGGACGCACCACCACGTACGACGGTTGCTACTCAATCTCCGAAGTCTAATTTTACCATTACTTTACGCCCGCTTTGAAAATTGACTCTAAAAATATAACGTCACATAGTACTACACCAAAATAAAACACGATAATCTATGTATACGTGATGCGTTCAGACTTACTCTAATTTTTCATTCAGCAACGGAAATAATATCACGTAGAATTCTATTTATTTTTAAGTATGTACATTTATTTTATTGTTATTCAAATTTAATATTGTTACAACTTCATATAGTTTTCAATTTAAAATGGTATTCTAATTTTATTGTTATTTATTTGTTATATCTTAATTTTTAAAAAAGTATCTGTTAATTTTTCAAGTGTTGGAATGTTGATTCTACTTTATCGTTTCCTTTGTTATTTAATTAAGAAAATGGTATCATTATAATTATCTCAATTATTTTATATGAGCGAAGCTTACCTAAAGGTACTTTATAGATAATTTTATATATGTAGCCAATAATTGTAATTGACTGTGGGGAATGAACGGTAATGATGACTGTTGTGTCAGACATACAAAATGAATCTAGTCACTACGATATTTTCACATATTTATTGTAAATACTACTGTTGACGTAATTTTATGTTTCAATAAAAACTTATACCTATTTACGTATTTAACTATTAAAAAGCCATTTCATTTTGAGGTAAACTATTTTATTAAAAACGCTATTACACAGTTTTATAATCATAATAATTATTTACTTACCTATACATAAAGCTTAATTCATCCATATTGTTATATTATACAAATTTAATTCATAAGCAAAGCTTCATTATATACCTAAAGGATTTATTAAATTATCGACAACTAGGCATTAATTTTTCTTATGTACAAGTACACAATTTTTATTATTGTTTTAATTATTAATACATAAACTTAAAATTCTCTGAAATCTTAAATTGCTACATAATAAAATTACATCGTATAATAACTAGAAAGATGGAAAACAGTTGCATTCCATATACATATTTTATCCATATTACATAGTGATATTTTCGAACATATTTTATTTTATCTTAAATGTTAATCTTTTATTTTTTTGGGGTATAGATAGTTACTGATCAGGATATATTTTATTTTAAATATTACCTGTTGTCATAATGATATAATTAGTACATTTTTGAAGGGTGATATAATAAATAGATTTTCATATTCAAACGACTCAGTGCGTGACGGCGAATATAATTTGTTATTCGAAAAATTTATTATATTATGTTAGAACTATAAGAATATTAAAAAATATTTCTAAAAATAGATCTATAGTGAGGTAATATAATAATAGACAAATATATGTTATTTTATGTTGATGAATAACCTTATAACCATTTGTCAAGGTTGCAGCTGTGAACGAAGGAAATATTTAACATTTTTTAGGTTAATTAGAATATTTAATACCTCCATATTTGATAATGTTATCACAAGACACTACTATACTATTATTAGTATTTAGTTGCAAATCGTAGACACGGAATAATAATAAGTGACCGGATGACTTTTCAAAAGGTGTTTGATATTCAAATCAAATTCATCAATACCAATACTTATTTCCATAAAAAAAATCTAAATAAGCCTTCATATAATCCTGATCCTGATTCCTAATAAGCTAATAAATCTTTAAATGTGTATCACTTAAAAATCAGTCATATGCGGGCTTAAAATTTTTTTTCGTCATTTTAAAATGTAAAACAATATAACAAAAATATTCATGGAATAATATTTAACTTTTATTAATTTTTTAACCAGACGTTTGAATTTTTATAAGACCCCGATCCCCTATTATCTATTTACCTATGAAGTGGATAAAAAGTTTATCTTATTAAGATAAATAACAAAGTTCAATTTTATATTACATGATGACCTATATAAAATACCAACAGTTTGTTATATAACATATTCACTTCTGGACAACATTTTGAATTTAAAACTTTACGGTTATACCATGGGCAATGTATACCTAATCAAATTATCTCAAATTATAATATCAATTGATAAAGTCTTTTCTAATTCTAGAAACAAAAGTTGAAGTATGTTTTTAAACTGGTTCGTTTAAAACGCATCTATTAGACAACTAAACTTAATGCTACGATTATATTAATGTAACCCACAGCCACATATAAAAACCCACATATAAACAATTTAAATAAATATTTTATATTGAAAAAGCTGACAATCCTAAAACTAAGACCAACGATATCAAATTGATGATAAATTCTTTTTAGGCTTAAGCTCAATTAGCATTTCAGAAGGCCGTAAACATCAGTATGATGATATATATGTAGCAGCTAAGTGGTATAATCAGCCGACCAATTGATCAACTAGCCCTTAAATTGAATGGCGCCAATCAATTTCATTGAAGGGTTGGCCGACTAATCGGACGGTAATTATACCATTTGGCTGCGACATAAGTATATATACGTCTGAATTTTTGCTTTGTATAAAGTTTTTAATACTGGCTATCGGAATAATGAAAAAACCGCGATATAAGTATATACGATGGGGGCTATCACATTTGAATTTTCCGCCAAAAGCGTTAATGTAGCGTGAGATCTTCGAGATGACAAAAAGAAATATTACCTAAAGCTTGATGCACAGGGCAGCACTAACACAGAGAGTACAAACCAGCGTAAAGCGTTATAATATATGAAATTGTAATAAATAATCAGGAAAAGTATAAAATTATTATAATTAAAAAAAACCGGTACTATTAGTCAAATGGCCGAAAATAATCAGATTTTATGTAATTTTCAGTGAAATATTAATAAAAATTCAAATAATCATAATAATATCTTTACAATTCTCATTTAGCTTTGAATGGCGTTTGATTTTTGGAAAAAACTGTTACTGTGCTACTGCCGCATTCTGGCAACAGAAATTTGCAATATTTTATATGTCCTATTGTCAGTGTCTGGTGGGCTACCTGATTTTATTTATACCTTAAATTACCTATATACCTATATTTGTTCCTCTTAAGCAAATTATTCGTAATATTTTAAAATAGAGTATTGTTGTCCACGTGAATTGCTACTACTATTGCTATATGTCAGTTTTATCTTTCAGAAACTCGCGTTACCTTTTTACAAAATACGGGTCGGAACAGTGAATCATTTCGGCCTGCTCGATATATTAATTCAAATTTAATCAACTCAATTTCAGGGCCTCGCTCATCAGTGGCGCCAACTGGTGAGCAAAGTACGGTTACCCTGATTGAACATCACTGACTGTGGATTCTAACTGTGCCAAGTCAGTGTTTCGTTGCATATATTTCTGCTTAAATAGTAAACAATAAAAAAACAGTTCCTATAAATACATCCCTTTATGATATTGATTTAAAGTTGTAACTTTAGTGAACAGGTTTCTTGATTGTATTATATTTAATTTAATTAGATTTAGTAAAGAATACGTTTCATTAGGTATTTTTATAAACAATAATGTTTAACACTACAAAATTAAAACGTATGTCATAATGTCATATCACCACCAGCAGTAGATTCTCCGACATCCCCAATGTTAATTTACGTTCAACAATTCGATTAGTCAATTATACTAAGACAGATATCACTGTATCTATGCTTAATATTAAATTGACTTTACACAAGGCACAAGCAAAAAGAAAATATCAACTAATACTTATATTATTTATTACAAGAGCTATGTTAGATATTAATTTTAAGTATTAATCTCAAGACAAAAAAAAATAAAAATCGAGACAAAAACGTTTGCTACGATACATATTTAAGAATAACTAATATTTAATGTACATAGAATCAAATACATAACTTTTTAAACGTATGTAGTATTTAGATCATCTTATAAACTCCAATGGACCACAATCAGTATGAAATTATTTGGGCTAGAGCATCAATTTACAAAATTCGCATCCCTATACAAGTTTAAACTAAGCTTTTGATCACACCTCTCTAACAATTACCTACGCATATGCGTATACGCATATACCTACCAATGTAATTTAAGTTAATTACATAGGTACATGTAAGTCAAGACAACTGATCAATTCTTGCTATAGCCTTAAAGCTGTATTTACACTTGACTAGTTAATAGAAAAACAGTTATAGCCGCAGTTTGTTTTCATTTTCAATATTTGTAGACTGTGTCCAATCATATACTATAAATGATTAAACAGAATGCAAAATTTATGAACCTCTAATGAGCTTCGCGAGTTATGAAATACTAAAATCTTGGTGCCTGCTACAGAGTTTTTAACGTTGATAAAACCACACTACCAATTATCTTTAGCGATATTCACATTAAATTAAATATTATTCAAATGTTAAAAAGGGAAGCCGGCAGGAATTCTCTTATTTGGAGCCTTCGTCACTGACATTTACACCATCAATGAATTTGATAACGTTATCAAGTTCACACAGGATATTGCAGGCTAACGTTAACGTTAAGTCTATTAGTGAACGCTTAAGTCTTACTGCCAGTGAAATTTCTTTGGTAGACATGTTTTTAAATAAGCTTACAACTAAAATTGTTATTTTTTTTATTTTATTGAACTGTGTAATTATGTTAGATAAATAATTGATGTGGGGTTTGCAACCTAGACCCCAATATATTAAAATTGTAACTTACATGCTCACCACATTTTATTCTAGGCAACTTTTTCATTTATAAATAATGATAAAATAGCTGTTTTGTCATTTTTTTAGTAATTTTCAATGAAGACTATATTTTTACATGTAAATTTTTCATATCAAGATTTTAGGTGTACCAACAAAGGAAATATGGGAATTGGGAAACAAAAGTGACCATACCATAACAGCGTGCGATATCATTAAAAAAATACTTATCAGCCCTACGATTCTGTAAAATCCAGACCCGATTTCGAATTCGCTCATGTGTCCGGATTCACGTTATTGAGTGTAGAAATTCTATTGACTCCATTTTTTTATAAAAATACAAAACAAAATTGTTTGGATATACGTGTATCAGATATTCTATTCCTATTTCATTTCGAAACTCTCTTTACTTATCCCACGAAACGTTCAAGGTTGAGCGGATGCCGCCTTTTGAAGTGAATTCAGACACCCTGAGTGAATTTGAATTCGGGTTTGGTTTCTTCGCAGGGCAGTAAGGGGAATATATGAAGAATAAGCAGCTATACTGTATAATAATGTATATTCTTCCCTCCGGACTTGCCATCATCAAAAAATACCACTGATGGTAAAACTACCACTAATTTATCCTATTGGTGTAACCGTATTTATGAATGTGTTAATGGCTACACTAGTGAAATCCTTACCGATTACCATCCATAACATCTATCAGTACAAGCGACCCGTTAGGGTATACGTCATCACTTAGTATCAGTAAAAGTCCATAAAGGTTCACATTTCATCAGTGAGGCCGTTGACGGTTCCGCTGGTGGAAGCGCGGGTCTCTGGGGAGCTGCCTAGACTGCCGTAGGTGCCGCCGCTCCGGGACACCCGCCAACGCCCCCGACGACGGGTTATGCCTACGAGACCAACTCCACTTTCATTACGTTCACAACGCAACGTGTTCAGGTGTACGTGCACGCACACAGACCGATGGTTACCGCTCGTGAAACTTGGACCAAAATGTGTGAGATGTGTTTCGACGGCATACATGATCATGTTTACTGTCAAGTTTACAGCGTGCTTGAAGTTGCCACATGCAAAATTGACGGTGAAGTTGATGGTGTATGACAGCTATTTCATTTTAACAAACGTAAGTGTTAAATTAGCTCTTTAATTGGAATTTGGAAGAAAGCATAGAAGATAAGGAACAGACACTAATATTTAAAAAATATATTAATGAGTAGGTACTTATTTAAAACTCACATTGCTAAAACAAATATAAATTAAGCCTGGCACGAAAAGATGTTAAAAATTATTAGCAGCTCTACTGCGTAACTGAAGTCTCAATTGGTCTATCAAGTTAACAAATACCAATTGTCTGCAGACCAATTCTGATTGGTCTTCAATTACGTGATAGAGATGCGGACCGCGACACGTCAATACTAGCTGTTTTCATTTTTATTAGTGCAATGGCATCGGATAAATCAATGTGACAAATGTTTTTGTTATATTATATGCCAGTAACTTAGAACTGTTATCAAAAAACCATTGACACACCATAATTACTTACTGTAACTTTAGTAGAATTAAGGCCCGCTGGTTGCTTAACACTCTATGTTTGCGTCAGGTTTTATGAATGATGCCATTATGGACAATGCCTCAGATATACGTCTACAACTGTATACCTACTTTTAATTTTGTATGCCGTGGTTAGCAAGTACCTTTGTAAACTCATAAAATATTATACGAACAAATGTTATGTCCGCCCTGTCTGTATATTATTTACAGGCAGGGCGCGTTGCTCCGATTAAAAGTGGCACATCACCGTTTCATATTTTTCATGGACTTAAATAAACCAAAATCATAGTTCAGTAGGAACACAGTATGGCCATTTTCGTAATTAAAAAATACATCAAATTTTAATTGTGTAGCGCCATTTCTCAACAATCAAAAAGAAGGAACACAGGCATCAACTTAATAGTCATTAAAAGTGATTAAACTTAGAATGGATTTTTCTGTTGCTTACCTCCCACAAGCAGGTACGATAGAAATATGTCAATTCTAATCCGCTTATTTTTTTTATGCAAAGAATCTTACACCTTACCTTATGTGGGTCGATTAATGGAAAATGTAATAATATGATCACGAGTGGTAACCCAAATAAATATTGATAATGTGTGAATGACGATGCATGCAGATAGGAGATCGCACCTATAAGGTGATCGCATATCTATCAGAATGGAATACGCCGAAGAAGGCAATTCAGTATATGAAAAATGGAACCACGGTGGTTCAATGCTTACACGTCCGCATCATTCATTTATAAAATGTAAAGAAATCTTTTTAGGCTCTATTAAATATGCGATCGCCAATATAATATTCTGAAGGACAGTCAAAACCGCTATTCAGTTGCGCTTTCACAAATCGAAAAAAAAATGCAAAAAAATAACAAAATTTAATAAATGTACAATCGTGCATTAAAGCTGAAATGATACCTTATGTACATTCCTTACTTGATTCTTTAGAATGATAGCAATAATGACTGCTTCGTTGTTCTCAGAAAACCTCAATAGTTACCTAATGTTATTGACAATATTATTTTATTGTTCTCATTAAAACTTATTAACGCTGAACTATTCATAGTATTATTCGATATTTGATTATAGTTTTTTGGTATTGACAATATTTTATAATATTCACATGATTTAATATGTAAAATAAATCATAACATGAAACACCGTTTTCTATAAACATTTTGAATTTGAAAAAAATACAATTTTACCGTTTCCATTGTGTCGTTTGAGCATCATTTGGTTGAACTATCATAATCACGCTATAAAAAGTTTAAAAAAAGAAATTAATTTTATAGATTATGATATTATGATATATTATGATAGCGATGAGCAAAGGACAGTGTAGTCGTATGCCACTGATAATGCGAGTAACAAAACAAACTGTTGTGGCATACGACTACTCTATATTTTGGACCTCGCTATTATAACTATTGCTATAAAATTAATTTCTTGTTTCAAACTTTTTAGAGAGCGATTTAGCTGTAATCGGGGTTTAGATTTTAGACTTATTTTTTTATTTAATTATTAGTTATCTATTCTATTAGTTATTTTATTTTTCTAGAGGGCGCTGTTGCCGATTTAATGTATCGTCACATAGCCTATAGCACGCGGAGAACTGAGATGCTTCTAATAATACCTCATTTGTATTTTGTACACAGTTTGAAGTTATAAGGAAACAGATGAACATTCTTACATAGATACCGTCCAAAATCATAACCCTCCTTTTCACTTCACCGTAGTCGGATACAAAGAAGCCTACCTGACGCCATTTGGAACGGTACAATAGAGCTAGATGCATCTACTCGTGTATAATGATGCTTTATATACCAGTTATATCATTTTGTATGATATAAAAAACATATAGGGATTTTTTAATCCATTGCATTTGTCATGAGTCATGTCATAAAATATTGTCAATTATGGATATGGAGGTACTTAAACCCTAATAAGCTCCTTACCCATCCCATATTATACAGATTTCACTTAAAATTATTTTATACTGGTGATAACTCGTTACCTTTTCAAATTTCCAGTTCAACCTAGTGTACCACTTAAAATTGAAGTGAATTTCAAATTTTTACTTTACAGTGCACTATATGAAAAAAATGATTTATTCTTTAATAATTTACTTTTATTTTTAACGCCCAGCCTATTGTTTAACAGAAAAGAAAATAAAACTTAAGAACAAGTCATTTTTCTCAATCTTATTGTGCACAAACTCGTACAATTTTAAGCGTCTGTGATTTTTGAGGTAGGAACATAACTAACGCTAACGTTTTATTGTGAAATAAAAAAGACATTTCTTACTTCCGTTTGAGTCGGACTGAGAAGCTCCTTATATCGGCAAGAAAAATATTATTTTAATGTTATTAGTACTTTCGTTTATGTAATCCCTAGTCTACAATCTATGTTGTACATTGGACCTTTAATACCTACTTAATTCTATACGTTAATATGATGATTGCGTAATGATTAAAACATGGCTGAATACAGTGAATTAACATGCGTTTAAATGCATACCTTAAAACACTTGCCGGTGCTCATACATAGGTGAATTATAACTAAAAAAATAAATAAAACGAAACTAAATTAAAAAAGGTAATTTTATTTCTGTATTACAATAATTATAAGTCGTCGGTACACGCGATACTGTTAAACCTTTACCGTGGATAGATAAAACTATGTTTCCTTCCCTCTAAATTAAGTACTAACTTTAAGTAGAGATTCCGGTGTTGTAAAAATTTGTTAAACTATTATAATTTTGTTCTTTATAATTACAAATCATTCTTCTATCTTTATAATGTACATTTTTTAAATTAAATTAGATTGCATTAAAACATGAAAACACTGTCAATAGGAACATAGGAAGGTGCCTATTAAGCGTTAACGTAAATCTCTTTGGGAATCACTAAGAATAATAATACAGTGCAAAAAACAATATACAAAACCAACAAATAAATTAATGTACTAAGTTTTCTGTTTTCTGGCGTTTTACAAGCGTACCTGCAAGAACAGAGCGCTCCTTGTATTCTCATAATACATTTGATAATATTAAATGGAGCAATGTATTACCGACACCACGTCATTCAGCCTCTGTCACCAGAATTAGTAATCTTGTACCCGTTCAGTTAGTCAAATTGCAAGAGACGAAATTAAAATAATACTAATAATGTGCACTAATAATGATAAAGAAAATAACTTTTTGTTGCAAAGAAATTGACTTCACGCGTTCCATTTCCGACCTATGCCTTGTGCTATAAAAAAGCGTAAACCTCACACCATTGCTTTTATCACCAATTTGATTTGAATTTGTTACTAAGAATACATATACTTAGTATCTCAAAATACCAGAAATATACGTGAAACACGTTCTCCATATATTTACTTCTTACTTAGGTCCTAACAAGACTTCTTTACAACCGGAAATAAAACGGAGCTCGAGCCATTTCTTGCAAATAACCTAACATTAATAACTAAGATATATAATTAAAATGCTAATACTATCATTCACACAAAAAAAAAAATACTTTGGAAATAAAAATATGAATTTGCATTTTCATAGATTACACACGAATGTTCCACAATTTATTATATCAAAGTGGATATTAAAATATTGAAGCTGAATTATAATAAAATATTAAAATAGTTATAAAATACAAGTATAACATCAACTATCTAAAAGTCATGCCTTTTATATAACTGAGATTAAGTACCGATCTCTGAATAAGTACTCACATCGCTAAGAACTAAAGTGCGCTAAAAGGCAGTGACACAGCAATCACACATAAGGAATCATCAATAAATAAAACATCTAAAAAATATAATTTAAATTCGAAATTGTATAGGAATGATCGTATCGCAGCTAAAACAACGATCGGTACATGCAAGTTACAATAATATATTAAAATAAAAACAGAAAATATTCGTGATTTATACATTGACATTAAAAGGTGTCCCAATAACCAACTATATTTGTTAGAAGCTGTACCCTCAAGAGCCTGCAATCTGCGACTAAAACATGCAATGACGTTCTTAGAAAAGATAGTCTATTAAATCACCGATTGCAAACTTTTCTATACAAATAAATGCTTTATATAAATAGTTAATGGGAATTTAACCAAACTCCCACACAGCCAATTGTTTTGTTCGACAACTAAACAGCTTTTTTAAGTGTTGTTTAGCAAATGCGAACCAGTAAATTACTAATAAATAAGTGACCTACAAATATACAAAATTTAATAATGATGGAACTGTTTTGGAACAACAAATTTCAATCTCAAACTTGATAATAACTGGAACATTTCCATCACATTAAAAAATTATAACGGTGCTCATGCATTCTAAACGAGTGAGTGTTACTTCTAGTATAGCAATATTATAATAACTGTGATGTTACTATGTTAGCACTATTACCAAAGCATATATTTAACGCTTTTATTGCTTTATCACGTATTCATTACGTTTATATGTATAAATTCTCTTTTGTAATGTACAGAGCTTGCTGCGGAAAATTCAATTTCATTTAATCAATTATATATAAAATTATATCGACAAATTTTTAAGTATTGATTGAATCAATCAAGTGCTATAATAAGCTGCTTATTCACAGTAAAACAATAGATGAAACTAATCAATCAATACTCTGGAACTTCAAGACTCAATATAATGTACTCGATACCACTGAACTCTTCTAACATTTGCAGTAAGCCTTTGAAGTACAAGGTTTTAATGAACTACCATGGAAGATATCGTAACACCTATCTTTACAGTGCATGAGCACCATTTTCACGTAGCGAAGACTCACAGTAATTAGGATACAATTCAAATATTATGTATAATTGTCTATATGTTGAACTGTCTATATCCTCTGTACTTATTTATTGATCCTAGCATTACTGTCAATAGTCTTTCTACAACATACTACAGCTATTGCACATTGATAACTGCCCATTTTAAATTAATTCTTAATACTGAAACACGATTATTTATGATTTGGTGTCTATCAGTGAGCAGTTACTTACTGTCCAAGAGGCGTTAGTAATGAAACATAAACGAGAATGATCTTTGTTCGTTGCAAATTTAAAAAATATTAATTATAATTCTTTACATGTTGGAATATGGTTCTTATTTTCTTGTAGTCAAGGTGTCATTTTAAAGTTTTCAAGTTAACCAGGAAACTGATATTATAAAACTTTATAGATATTAGTAGCGAAATTCTATGACGCCACCTTTCTCATGATACCTTTTCCCCTTATTCTGCATTAATAAAAAGCTTTTAATTATGCCGTCTATCAATAAGTGTAGCAAATGAATTCATTTTTACTTTTAAAATTCATAGTTCATTCTCATTAGTCTCAAGCATACGTTAAACGCGTGGTCCGGTTATGTTATTTTTTACATAAATATATGTAGGGCCCGTGCCGTCTCTTACTCGTGTAAGCGAGGTTTCCGCTACTCCTGTCTCTTTTCCACGCAGAATCTGATTGGCCAATTTTTGTTTGTTCACTGGGGAACCTGAAAAAAAGATTAGAATCACGTGCCTGATGGATCAACCGGATTTTATAAACATTGTTTTTAAACAATAATTAAGAGAAACACGCAATTTTGGCAGTAGAAAATAAGATGTTTTTCGCTGAATTTCAGTCAATTATGTACACAGAAATTATAATGAATGTTACTATCGCAAATTTTGTGCCTTTCATAAACGAAAATAGCAATTTGTAATTATGGGAAACACAAACTTACTGTCTATGAAAAATCAGGCTTCTAATTTTATTAATTATTAAAATTAACACTTTTGAGATTCACTTCTGTCTTGTCTCATTTGAGAATACAAGTTTCGATTTAAATACCAAAATCGAAAACGTTTATGTAAATTTTATTTAAATAGTCGTTTTATGAAATACGCGGAATATACTTCCAAAATTAATCCTTTTGGAAGGTATAAATGTTACGTTAATCAGAACCCAATATTAATAATAAAAAATAAATTGGCATTTCCCATATTTTAAAAAGCGTTTATGGTTTATCTCCTTACCTTTGATCGTTAGTATAGGTCAGACTAATTAATAGCAGTGAAAAATTAAGCGTTATAAATATGCGTAAATAAACTGGTAAAACAAAAATAAACACATGAGAACAACATAAGAATTGATAAATAAAATCACGATCTCACTTCCATCTTAGACGATACACTGTACATTTGATATAACAGATATTTCTAAAACCTTTTAAGGAAATTTGCACAAATTGGTATTAACTAAGTTAAAAGTTTTTTTTTTTTTTGTTTTCAATATGAACTATTTTTAACAGACTTCAAAAAAAGGAGGTTATTTAAATTAGATAATAAATTATTCTCCATATTGAGTTACACAATTTCATATAACTTACAGAGCTTATACTATGAGGTAATGAAGTCATTGAACGTTTAAAAAACATACAGTCGACAGTCGGGCGGTCTGACTATTCCAAATTTCGCCAATCGGTTTCAAGCCTGAAGCAGTTCTATAGTAAACTGTTGTGACAAATGTGTGAATTGGCGCCATATATTAAACAAAAGTCAAAATTGTCAAATATTTTGACATATCTGATGCAATCACAGACTCCAAAACCGACTTTTGAACAAAAATTCATAAAATTAATTATCGAGTTTAATAAATCAATCATTCACTCGCAAAACAGTCAAATCTATATAGCAAATAATAAAAAAATAAAAAATATTTAGAAACAGTTTAACCACCATTTGTGCAAATAATCAAGAAAATATTTAGTATAACTTGTCATAAAAAGTTTTAACATGATCTCTTCAAACCTCAAAGTAAGTGACTGAAGCACTTATATTATGCCGAACGACAAAAAATAACCACCACCCAGATATAAAACGGAATTTTTTTGATGTCCAAATTGATCCAAATCAAACGCAAAGCCTCTTAAATGGCAACACTAAACTAAATGAGATTGCTTCTCGAAACCAGTTATGAGTTTTTCCTATAATTCATACTTAATTGCAACTTTAGCGCAATATCATTAAAACAAAAATAAAGCATAATTTATAAAATTGTGCAATGAAAAAAATGCAATGACAAGTTAAGCTTAGTAACGATTTCTCCCGAAAATGTCTTACAATTTCCACTTCTAAAGTGCAAAGTTTATCGATTTTTATCATGGTAACATAAAATATTGAGCTTTATACTCATAAAAAATATCAATAATTAAAAACATAACTATTTATTCAATATCCAAAAGGTCCAATATACAAGCGACTCAAATTAATAAAATAGTGCAAAATAATTTAAACATAGAATACATGCAAAGCTGTATTACCTTATTTTAAAGGTGCTGAATGTTCACATTGTGTGTGAATGAGATGATATGATCATAGACTTAAATACCAAAAATTAAGCTATACAAACTTAAAAACTATTTAAGTGTATAACAATAATGTTGAAAGTTACTTGAAAACAAAAATAACTGTTCCGACTTTCCGAAGTCCATCATGATGAAGTCATACTTCTGGGTACAGACACTTTACTACGTTCGAAGTTTATACTTTATATTTCTAATAAGTTACTTTACTGAATTAAATCGCAGGATATTCCCTATCAAACTTAATATTCAAAACCGGTGTTTAGAGGACGTATTATTAACATTTTGTATTTATCTTGCTGTTGCTCAACTATGCAAAACATATGCATGTACCATGTACTTCAGAAAGTCGTTGGTGTATGTACAAGTGTTACATCTGTACAAATATTAAATTAGAATCTTTTGATATTATTAGAGAATACGACACTTGTTCGATGTAGTCAGGAAGTGGGCACAAAGTTATAGGTGATACAACAAATACGAATATTCATATTCACCAAATATCATAACAAATAATTATTAATAAATGTGTAATTAATAAATAATGTAACTGAAAAACTGCGCTTTTTTACTCTCACTATTTTACTTAAAGTTTGTTCATTGATGATAAATTCATGTGACAAATGTCAATGTGGCATGCCTAGAATTGAGACAATTTATTATCAATGAATAGTTCGAAACATGTATTAATTGATCATAATTATTTATCGCTGTTTTTTTTTATTTATGTTACAAAAGTTGCATTGTTTGTCTAAATAGATATCAGAAATTAATATTTATTACGTTTTTTAAACTATACATATTCATCGAATAAGAGGATCGATATTCGTATTCGTTGCATCACTATTATAGGTAGTATGATGTGTGGAGTGACTCACCAATATAACTGAGCATTACGGGCAGGAAGATGAGACCGTGCGCGGCGCCCACCAGCACGATTCCCAGGTACATGCGGAAATAGAACACCTACCACAGACAAATTGAATGCAGTTTGCATGTTAATTGCATTACAAATCAACAATGCGTTTCAAAAAAGGTTAACTAAACTATTATATTAGAGACAAATCAGATTCAATTTAAAGTGTGATGCATAATCTAATGAAATCGTTGTAGTTGCTTAATGAGAGTAGACTAGTATTAATGATATGAAATTTTCAAGCATTGACTCTGTTTATATTAATATAACACTATCAGATTTCTCGTGACTTTGCCGGCATAGATTATATGCAATGTCACCCGCGTGTGGTATAGCTTCACGCAGGTGGATATTTTCTTTTTTAAATCGGTTCAGTAGTTTCAAGGCCTATTCGATACAAAGTAACAATCAAATCTTTTTATATTTTTAGTTAGAAACATATAGTCCTTCCTCTTGAACCATTCTGTATTTTGATGAAAACCGCATTAAACACCGTTGAGTAATTTAAAGGAATGTACAGACCGAGAGAAGCGACTTTGTTTTATACTATCTGTAAATACGTGATGGTATGTAATGATTTTTGTACAAACAAGTCAAGTCTAACAATGAATGTATATATGTACCTGGAAGATCTGACTCTTGGCGAATCCCAGTACGATAATTCCACCAAACTTGGTGAGCGTGATGCCTGACAGCACGGAGGAGCCCATGGTCGCCAATGATACAGCCGCGCGGGACACGCGGGACCCGCCACCAGCACTAGCGAAACTATGCACCAAATGCGAACAGAACTCCACCGCTATACCCACCGCCATCACCTATAACGGATATACATTATCAGACATCATTTTTAATTATATAAACAAAACTGTAATAAGTAATAGTGCATACTTTTATTTTTTTATGAAATTATGTTCTAAATAATGTTCTAAATATTAGTCAGATTTACTGTTCTTCAAGTGCTAGTAAAGGATAAATAGAGGGTTTTCCAATAAGGGCGGGTAGATGTTGAAATGGAATAAAACAAGCTGTGTGCGAGTTATTTACAAATTATTGTTTTTATTTGAAAGGCCCATGTATGCCATTAAGTGTGAAATATGACATCATTCAAATGCCCGCCTCGGCTTCTTACGGTGGCACGGATCCGAGTGGTCCAATTTTTAATGACTCTTCCGTACAGACCCAGCTGAATTTGAGCGATGACCTGTGTTATGTTCACCTTTAGGGCATCGGCAGATTGTGGTTTGTTTGCATAGACCTGCGACTTCAAGAAACCCCACAGGAAAAAGTCTAGCGGGGTCAAATCGCATAACCTTTGTAGCCAATTCACATCACCCCTGCGAGAGATAACCTTACCCTCAAATCGTTCATGCAGAATATCAATCGTGGCGTCAGCTGTATGGCACGTAGCGTCGTCCTGCTGAAACCACATGTCGTCTAGGTCCATATGGTTCAATTTTGGCCATAAGGAATTGGTTATCATCGTTCTGTAGCGCTCTCCGTTGACGGTGACTGCCTCACCAACGTCGTTTTCAAAAAAGTACGGGCCATTGATGCCGCCGGCCCAAAATCCATACCAAACGGTAACTTTTTGACGATGCATTATCACCTGGTGAACCTCGCGTGGGTTGATGTCGTCCCATAATCGGACATAATACATAATTTTGCTTGTTAACACAGCCATTCATCCAAAAATGCGCCTCGTCACTAAAGATTATTTTTCGGGCAAAATTGGGGTCCTCTTCCAAACGATTCGAAGCCCAGCCAGCGAACAAACGGCGTTGTCTATGGTCATGAACTTTGAGCTCATGGGTCAGTTGGATCTTCTACGGGTGTAGGTCCAAGTCCTAACGCAAAATTCGCCAAGTTGAAGTCTGCGAAAGGCCGAGTTCTTGTGCACGGCGAGAAATCGACTGCCTCGGGTTCTGCTGTACACTTACACGGACCGTTGCGATGTTCTCGGCCGATCTTGCGTTCCTCGAATGTGCGGGTGTTGTCTGATTGATTACTGAACCGGTCGTCTCAAATTTGGCCACCAAACGTTGAAGAGACGACTGTGAAGGGCCACCACGTCAACCGTAAAATGAGCGCAATGCACGCACACTTTAACGAACACTCATTTTGATAGTATAGTTTTATCATTTGAACGCGCTGTTCAAACTTATAACTTGCCATAATGATTTTGCATAAGCAACTAAATAATAAACAAAAGATTTGACAGATGAGACCAAAACAAAATGGCCGCCACGGACCGCCAAAATCTACCCGCGCCAACTGAAAAACCCTTTATAACTAGGTGGATTGGTTCTTGAAGTAGAATAAATATTGAAATTATTCAACTTACCAAGTTAACTAGTGATACAGCATTTAGACTGACACTCCACCAGTACATGAGACCACCAAGATTCACAACTATCATGGTAATAGTTATAACTACCACCTGTTAAGAAAAATAGAATTCAGATCTTAAATCTTTTTTCACCCAATTTAATATCACCAATTAGAAATCTTTCTACTTATTGCAGTTCCATGAGTGCACTATAGTGTGTTATGAATCTATTTTTCAAGAGTAGTTTTAACTTATAGCAGTTTAAACTCTAATCAACATTTTAATTATTTTAACGAAAAGAATACTAACTAAGGATCGGAAACAATGACGCCTTTTAACCGTCGCATAAGCATCTGCTAATATCAACAGAATGTATCAGAATATGTTCAAACTTACCAAAGCCGAAAACAAATCGAATCCCATCAGCACGAAGGTGACAATGAATATAGAGAGCACAGATATTCCCATACTCTTCAATGTATCCGGCCACATAGTCAGGTACTGTTCATAGAACACGTAGAACACCGAGTACGGGAAAACATTGGTTGTGTTCTTGCCTTGTTCCTTCAGATTTCTATTCAGCGTTTCCGTTAAGTTGGCAGAGATAGAACGAGCGGCACGCAACGCTGAGTAATAATCCATACTCGACTTCAATACCGTGTGGTAACCTAAGTAAATATATATAACGGTTACATAATCAATTTCAGATAACAAGAAAAACTAACTTGAGTATTGACAATATGTATATATGAATTAAACAAAGCACAAAACTACGAATATAATTGAAATGCGATTATTTTGTATTGCAAATCATTCCATTTACGGCGGTAGATGGCGCTGTGCGAATATTACTTTGTATACGATTGATACTACTTTAATTCGCACCCTTCATGTAAAAGGCATATCAAATCAGTGTACAACAATAAAGTAGCAGATACGCCACTCGGTTATTACAGATCTCGTCAAAATATGCTGAGATTGTCATTATACATAGTTAATCTCACCCTGATAATATGTGGCGCCGACGGATGCCTGCGAGGAATTCAGCATTCTATAGTTGACAGCTTGGCCATAAGCAGCATGTCCCGCTTTAGCACAATTCTCGTTGGGGTTATCTTGCAGGAAGAACGGTACGTAATGCTTAAAGTCACCCGGACTGGGGCGAAGCTCCCTCCCAACCAGAGGTATGTTGCAAGAATCACATGTTAACTTTTCTGTAGGAGAAACAAAAACTCGCTTTCATAAAACTGACTATAACAATGTTCTTTGCCAACCCTCCCAAGATGTTAATTCCCATTCCTTTTAATTAATAAAAATAAAAAAAAACAATTTTGCGTAACGCGATGGGTTCCATACCTGTAACACATCATAACGTTTTACAAGATTCCTCCCCCTAAATTGCGTTACGTAATACATAAACGCCTCTTAATAAGAGGATCATTTATCTAGAAAAGTGTTGCCTGGAAAATTGCAAATATCAGCAAAACTATATATGCTATTATTTATTTAAATTACCATAAATCAATGGTATTTCAAACAACTTAAAATATAATCATTATACTAAGAACCATTATAGTAATCGTTGGGACAGAAACTGCTGTTCCCTGGGAAGTATTTGCAGCAATTACTGAGCGACGCCCAGTCAAAGAAGTCGTCTAGCCATGAGTTGGGAGGCTGAGATAAGTATGTTTCGTTGGGAGTGCGGGATGCTGTAAAAAACATTGTGTTAGTTAATGATTGTCAAATTTAAAACTACACTACAATACTTTCACTCTCAAACAGTGATAATAAACAATGTGTGTAAGTTATATATGTAAAAACAAGGCATTCTGTATATTTACCCGAGTAGAGTTGCATGGCGAGACTGTCCTCGCGACAGAAGCGTGTGCCGCATATCATGTTCTGTGTCTCTCGGTCCGAGTAATCAAGCTCGTCTGTCACCACGAAATATACTGGTGGTCCGATGTTAAGATACTTATTTAGATGCTGGAAGTACTTCAATTGGAAACTATCGTGAGGCATGGAGAGTTCTTGATCGAGGCCGATTTCTATATGAGGCGCCACCTGGTGGGACAGTTAAAATGTGGTATAAACTATGGGTATTTTGTTCGAGCTTTTGAGAATTATATCTTCTTCTATATACCGTATCCCTTGTGGGATAAGACTCATATGAAATTATATAGGTGTTATAAAACATTAAACTGTTACTAAAGTATTCAAAAAACTTACAGCCACCGAAGAACAGAGCCAGGCGAAGAAGATGATCATAACGGAAGCCCTTACTTCCCTCTTCATGAGGAACGGTACGTAGATTTGTCTGAACAAGTTGAACAACGCACCGTCGCCAGCAGAAGGACTTTCCTCTTTTTTGCCTTGCATGCAACACAATACGTCGAACCTGTAAGTTATTATTATTTACACTATAGCATGAATACGTAGGTAAAATATAGACTAAATTAATAACTACTTGTCAGAGTAACCAATAGTCACGAAAATGCACAAAACAAAAATTGCGTCTTAAATGACTTTGATGACTTAATATTTTGTCTGTGTGTCACGTCACTTGAAATACGTCCCCGCCATTGTGTGACGTCACTGAGGCGACAACTGCCAGATTAGTCATACAGATATACTTATTAATTATAAACCAAATGTCTGGATAGCGCTGTTCTTAGCTTATTTATATCTTATTATTTCTCAATCGATCGTTATATGACATTGTTCTTGTTTTATTGACATATTTTAATCTCCCACTAAATGCATCTATTTTGTGTACAGATCACAATGACTTTATGAATATGATGGACAGCGTTTTGTCTCAAAAGCAAGAAAACTTATTTATTTTTCTGACATATTTGTTTAATGATTTTTTTCTTTTTATTTCAAACGGATTGGAATAAACCTATTGGTTACACTATTATATTCTGAGCAACAGTACCTGTTGTCAATGTGACGACGAGTATCTAGGGCCAGCAGTGCCACGAAACACGTGACCTGCAGCAAGAAGTCTACAAGCAGGGCCGCAGCGGCGTACAGAGCAAAAGCGCGCACCGCCGGCATATCAGATAGTGCTCCGAGGAAGAAACACACGCACTCTGATGCAGACGTTAGCAGCATCGACGGACCAACCGTGCCTAGGCTATAACCATCGAAAAACAATACAAATCAATTTTAAATTGATTGTTAGAAAAGGTAGCCGAAACTAATATTTATTTATAAGATGGAACGCCTAAACAAAAATCACCGATTTCGAATTCACGGTAAAAAAGAAATACGGAAAGTTGGTATTATACCTATAGTTGGTAGGTATTTCGGTAATTCCTTTCAAATTATTAATAATATTGTTTAAAAATATGTTTGCTTCAGTGGAGTGAGACAGAATTATTGCATTTGCTTGTTTAGTATATAATCACGTTAAATTTCATATCATCATCACCATTATCAGTCTGTTAATGTCTCCCCTTTCCGCTAGGGTGTAGGACTTCAATATTTAATTGATTTATTTGATTAAAATTTTTAACATCAGCCCCTTTACGTCCCTACTGCAGGGTCTCAGGCCTTCCTTATGTATGGTTAAGGAGGATGGGTCATGACCCTCCACGCTGGCCCAATGCGGATTGGAGGGTATTAACGACTGCAAATGCAGCCGAGACCAACGGCTTAACGTGGCTTCCGAAGCACGGAGTAGCTCGAGATACTAATTTTTTGGTCACCCATCCCGTGACCGACCCTTGCGAAAGTTGCTTGACGGCAACGATCGCGGGCCGCGGCGCTCATCCAGCTCATCCACTACGCCACCGAGCTACTTTATTTCGAAATTAAAATTTTATTTCGAAATAATAGATCTTGTCACGCTATGTTCAAAAATATTAAAATATGTACTTATGCACAAAACCTACACTGAAGAAAAGTTACTCTAAACGACTGTTATTATTTTTGTTTATAAAGAATAAAGTTTATCTTATTTCATTATACTTATTAAATTTAATTTGTTGCAATTATATAAATTTTATAGCTAACCAAAATGTCAAGTTAAAATGAAGATTTTAATAAAGTTTGACCCTCTGTTGGCACGGATTGCGATCATGCTAGAAAGTTAAAATTTTGCATTTAAGTATATTTTAGCATACATAAAAAATTAAAGGTTTTTGTTTTCTAAGGAACACCCTTATGCATATACTAACGTGCGTCCAATATGTTCAGCGACAGTCTCGTCAGGTAATCTCGCATCTCTTTGACTAGTCTGAACCAATATGAATATGTTGTCCACTCCCACGGCGAGCACCAAAAACGGTATCACCTCCACTATGATCAGGGTCGCAGGCACTCCTATGAAACCGTACATACCGACCGAGCATACTACAGATGCTAAAACTATCAGCACGCCTGTCGACAAATAAACAAGACTGTTTAAATAATGTAATTTTATGATGAATTTCTACAATCAAATGAACATACTTTATATAGGTACATACATTAGTAGTTATAGTATTAATATATTAACACAATCTCAAACTATGACTTGACAAAAGATATTTCGACAAACTACCTCGTGTGTTCATAACGTTTTTAATAATTAAATTATATTTTTAAAATTTACAGTAACCATTAAATAGATAATAACCAACAATAAAATATACATTTTATTGAAAACGAACGCCTTTATTTTTAATGCAGGCCCTTGAGAGGATTTGACCAGTCATCAATGGCAACACGAATCTTTTCTAGCGGAATTCGCTTTGTTTCTCGAACAAGGGTTCGCTTCAGTTACTCAAAATTTGGATGGGACTTTCGGCAAGCCCCGAGCTGTAATTCAGTCCATAAAGAATAATCCAGCGGGTTGATGTCAGGGCTGGGAGGGCCACTCATCCGCCGCGATGAAGGCCGGCACATTCTCCCTCAACCAAGCTTGGGTGCTCTTTGTCTTTTGGGATGGCACCAACTCTTGCTGAAAAACCCAATCCTTATTGTGAAATAACGTATCAGACGGGGGTTTCAACACGGGCTCCAAAATGTCACTCTGATAATTCTTGGCTTTTTAAACCTTGACACTTTGTTGACAGAAATGGAGCGGATCGACACCTTCATACGAAACTTCCCACCATACCATCACACTAGCCGGATGATGAGTATGCAAGACATTCCGTTCAGAATCTGGGACATCCTTGCTACTCTAGCGTAGACTTTATTGTTTTGTCGGTTGAACTTTTCTTCGACAGTAAAAATTATCTCGTCGGTGAAAAATATCTTCCTGGCATCATGTCTCCTCAGCAGCAATGGACAACGTTCGCGTCGTAACTTACGAAGACGATAGTTTAAAAAGTGAACTTCTCTACGGCTATAGGCCTTTACCTTAAGATCATATTTCAGTATTCTGTTTATTAAAACGCGCAAAATATTGAAATGAAATATCTTTATTCAAGTAAGCTTCTTTCAAACACTTTTGAATCATCCAAAAACTTTTTTCCCCCTACCATTCGTTCAGGACGTCTTTTAGCTGACAAGAAGAACAAACGAAAAAAAACTTACCAGCTATGACATTTACAAATATCATATCATTACCACAATAGTACGAATTATTACAAAAATAATATTTTTTTCAGTAAAAAGTTTGTCTCAAAACTTATGAACACACGAAGTAAATCATTAAAATATTAAATGAACCTACCTCCAAGGCCAAGTGTAACTTTACTGTCGATGAGCAATCTCGAGAAACTAGTGAACCGTCCGAGTGAGATGGCGATATAAGCGAACATGATGAAGTAAGAGACGAGAATTGTCGACACGTCCGACTGCGACTCGCGATCCAGTTCATCCTCTATCGACCTCTCTGATGTGTAAGCGATATCCATATATGAGGGCATATAGTTCTCCGTGTAGTTCTTCATGAATGCAATGAATTCTTTCTCCCAATCAAGAGCCGGTTTGAGCTGTGAAATAAAATGAAAATTATGAATGATTTTCAAATGATACGGCTACAAGGCACTACCACTCAGAACTCTATATTGACTCATGGTAGAAATCTTATAAAGTAAAAGTAATATTCATCCAAACTCCAGATGAACCTCATTTCGATTCATCTCTCTTTTTCTAGTTAATTTCTCGTTTTTAATTACTTTTCATAAATAATCGTACAAGAGGTATTTTAGACGACTATAATCTAGGTTTAAGAAAATAATCACTTTATCGAATAACAACTTAACGACCAAGATAAAAATATACACTTACGAGTTTCTTATCATGCTTATTGTTGACTAATATGGTAATTATGAGGGCGTCGGCTTCGTGGTAGCGGGACTTCTTGCTTAGAGGTTCTCCGGGAGCTAAAAATCCACCCAGAGCGACTGCTGGCAACACCGGGCCACCGTAAGGTGCTAAACACATGTAGGGATTCCTAGCAAAAAAAAATGAATAAGAAAAATGTAATATCAAGTCAGTGCATATTATAAATACGACTAATTAATCATTTAATATTGTTCTAAATACGAATCCAAAACAAAATAAAGGTGAATCTAAATAAAAGTACATATTGCTCATATATATTTACTCAATATTATGATTTGTTATAATGATTGCATAAATATTAATAAATAATATAAGAACTAACTTTGAACACTTGATGATCTTATCAAGGTAGGCATTGTCTTCTAAGTCGCTTATAAAATCAGCATCGTCGTTGCCCCACCAGCCCCATACTGACTGTACTGTACACAGATCTGGTGTGACAGGGCCCGTGAAAGGAGACGAAAGTGGCGAAAAACATATATCTTCTATACCAGTGCTGCCTTTGATTGCTATATGAACATACAACATACAACTTTCACTTGTCACTTCACATTCAATAAAACTATAAATTTGTGATCAAATACGTAGCTGTAATAAACTGTATGGCAAATTTGAAATGGAATTACATTATAAATTACGGACACTATGGAAACTTATTATTAATTAATATTTCTATACTGAACACTTAATATTTCAGTTATTAAATAAGAAAAAGTTGAACACCTACACAGTGAATATACTGAAATACAAGTATCAAGTATGTAGTAGTAGTTACGGTCAAATTATTATCACTCACCCATGATTTTCTTTTGCAAATCCAGCACTTCCAGCATGAATGTGGAATTGAACACAGGTCCAAACATGATAGTTCCCGATGGCGACTCGTATTCTATATTGGGCAGGCCCTTAGAGCTGATAATGATCATCTCGGTACGGTAGAAAGGTTCAAAGTGCGAATCGAAATACTCTCGCTCAATACGAGACCTTGAAGTAGGCGAAGCCCATAATTCCACGGGGTTCGTTGTCAATTGGATGTATTTCATACCGTGGCCGAGTGCTACGATGACGCAAAATCCTGCAAATAAATTTTAACATAATATATTTTTTATATAAATAAGAACTATATTAGATATCATGAAAACGAAGTTTGCAACAGTTCTTACAACCAAAACTAAAGAAAAAAACCGCCATCTAAGGTACTTTCGTCTAATAACGCCCACTTTTTTGACCATTAAAGCGCCCGACCTTAAATGTCTGTTAATATCGAACTGTTGTTAAAATATATACTAGTTAATTTTTTCGCACTTCAGCAGTTGAAAACAATGGGCGTTATCAGGCGACTGTAACTTAGTTATAGTTAACATTAAGTATACTTAAATTTACTGACCAATGAATAGCACAGTCCAAGGTTTAGAAGCCATGAGGTGCCCCCACCACTGGAAGAAATCCTCCAACTTAGTCTCGGCGTCGGCACCGAGTCTCTCGAAGAATGTTGCGCTCTCCGCCCCATCCGGTTGATCAATGTGCCATCCTGACGGACGCGAGTTTGAGGTCATCTCTTGATTATTGTCAGATGCTACACCTATAGTGGAGGAAATTTGATTTCAATATACTTAAATTAGAAAAATAACAAGTTCTTTGTATATTTTCTTAATTGTTCTCAAAATCCAAACTAATAATTTTTTTACTTCCTTTGTTTGTAGGGGTACATGTTCGGAAATACCGAACCGATCGTGAAAATTCTTTCACATAGGTACAAAAAGATACATCATACGCGGGTGACATAGGGTAATTTACGTTGGCAAAAACAGCTAAATTTATAAACAGTACTTGTTTATAAATTTGCTAATAATTGAGGTAAAAAGCATTTAAGGGTTTATAATCGCTTATTCCCATAACTACTCACTTTGAAATGTATTATTATGTTAATAATGTAATGACACATCAATAAGTACAGCTGTGTTGATAACGTGACTACGTTTTAATTAATTTCCTGATTTTGTGTTTATCGATAAGCTCAATAAACATTTATGACAAGAGTCATAAAATAATTCAACAATATATTATATTGAATTGCTATCTAACTATGTAGCTTAATAACCTGCATTTTTTAATCAAACCAACGAAACAAAGGGACAAGGTACCGCAGGACAACATCAACATAAACGATCACAAGAATACACCATGCTAATACATAGTTTCCATATAGCTAATATTTAACAATTTCAAAAGTATCTTTCTAAATGTAACGCAAACTATGGAAATTGTAGCCATGCAAGCGAATTATTACGATCCTGTATCTACTAGCAGTAGTATACAACACCAAGCCGTATCCGCATACAGGGCTGGGCTCTGATGGAAGAGGTACAAGCATAAGTGCATAACAACAGTGAAAAGTGCCACAAGGTAACATTAGCACAGTATACGTACTGGATCTGTGGCTGTGCAGCGGACTGGTCTCGGGGCCGCCACGTCGTGCCTCAGCCGCCCTCGCCCACCCGTCTGTCCCAATCCCAACACCGGAGTTAGCTTACACCATATCTTACTAAGTTAAAGTGTATCATCCATACATTACAATATCCTCAATCCCTATATATTATGAAAAGTATATTTATGAAACCTTTATGAAGCAATGACTATATAATGGTGCTCTTTTTGGTAGAAGATTAATAAATATGTATGTACAATGAATAACATTAAAGGGTGAAAATTGCGTTGGATACATTTGAAACGAATATTTTACTAGATCAAGATAAGAATTTTACAGCTTATGATTAGGTATCTGTAGTGCCGGATTAGCCGATAAGCATTGCTTAGGGCATCAAGTCTACAGTCTAGGTACCAGAAACAGCACAAAAAAAATTGCTAACACAAAAGTAAGGTGTTTGAAAATCTGTGCGTTTTTTACTCCACGGTCTCTTTTGATGTTCATATATTAGGTAGTCCTTAGGTACGTACGCAATAATCTGTCTCATAAATTGCTGTGTCTCTTAAAAAGTATGTTACTTGTTTTTGAACATCAATACAGTTTTTTATCTCTTATCAAAGAATAATGGAGTTTTAAAAATCAATGTTTAATTTTGTATAACTATATGTTAAATGTATTATTTGGAATTTTAATGCACAGGCTTTATACAACTGTCAGTGTAGCAGCGACAGTCATGAGAACCTATCATTAAAAAATTATTATCTGCAAAGAGTAAAACAATAAACGTACATACATTTTATATATTTCGTTGTATAAGTACAGGTGCCCACCACAACTATATTTTCTATAAACTAGAAACAACAAACATTACTTTGGTCGTTTCGATAAGATAAACACTTATTTAGAATCCAATAGTTGAATATAGGAATGAAGGTTTTATCTTAATAAGCTAAACAGCTAAATGTAACACATCAGAATTTATGATAACAATCATGTTTTATCGTTTCTATTAATCATTCGCGGAATCATAAAGCGACGCACTTACTCAATTTTTAAATCAGCTGAGTCAGGGTTAAACCTAGTCTATTGCCTAGCAATAACAATCATTATCTCAACAATTCAAAAATCTAACTTATAAAACTATATGATTATTGCTATCGATGTGCACAAACAGCATGCAATAATTTAATAAATCATGTTAATATTGATCGTTATTTACACGAAGAATTTTTGTAAATTTAATAAAACATATACTTCGATTAACATCAAAATAATCGTGTAAATAACTGTTAAATCATAGAAATAGCAAAAGCCTCAATATTGTGTATATTGTGTTATTTTATTGCTACTAAAACAATTCCAACACCAGTGCTATAGTGAATATTTCACTTTTTATAATAGCATTGTCGTCATTCCGTGAAGTTTATGTTGAGAAATCCATTAAAAGTAGGAGCATTTTCCTCGCTATCGTTAATATATACAAGTATCGTGCCTTATTGTAATCATCCAACCATAATACACGTGTGTAATGCACGCAAACATGCAAATATCTTATGAAGTTCTTTTACAAAGTTAATATTATGTTGAAGTCGGAGGGAAGTTATTTATGTTAGTCAACACTGACGGCTAAGGATTTCAAGCGGCCATTTTATTAATATTTTACAATAATGACAATAAAATCTTTATTCTTAATATCAAAGTAAGAGAAGACAACTCAATCAAGATAACTATAAAAAGGCATAAATTATTTATTGCTTTGATAGCGGCCAACAAAATGTAGTGTGGGTTGTGTATAAAAAGATACTTAAATACATTGACACTGGAACATTGTACTGATTGGATGTCATTTAGTTGCATTAAGAACTCAAAATGAAGTTTTTAATAACGCCATCTCAACCTTCAATTATCCGATAATAAATAAATTTTATATGCCCCTCTCCTTATTGTGTTTGTAAGTTTTATTAACTTACCAATAGTATTATCCGGTTGGTTACAACAGTAGACTCCACTTAGGAAGAGTGTGGTGAATATTACGAAGACTATCGCCATGACAACGGCGTAACCATCTACGCCGTGTATGCTGAAGGGGCGGGGTGCTGGAGCGGGCGGCGGGGGAGCAGGGCACGATAACGCGCAGTCTAAGCATGAGCAACCCGGTTGCCCCTGAAAAACGAGTGAGTATCAGATTTTACGGCATATGTATATGTATTGAAATTAAATTACTTCTTTGAACATTCACCAGCTATGACAACTGATTTTACATTTTAAATTGCCCCATTTAATTAAAATGTTAGCCGCCCAATTGTATGGCAGTTTCAACCAGTTGGCTGCGACGTATATATAAGAGAGGCATAGCTTTTAAAGTTGAATTTAATTTTATTTCTATGTTATAATATAACTGAAGGGTTGGAATCAGCACACTGGCAGCTTTTAATTACCGTTAAGTTACTATAAAGTTATTAGTTTTAAATAACTTTATAATAAAACCTATTAAGAGGCAAATAAACTCACATTCACGCCAACATTACATGGTCTAGTGGGGGGATTATATGGGGTGAACCCATCAACGGGTTCATCTCCGCTGAGGTAGTTTATCTGGAACGGCACGAAGGGCACCTCCGCATCACCCATGAAGTCGAACCACCGCTGCGGTGTACAGTATGCACTACCGTAGTCGCCACACATTATGTCCATGGCCATTTGATTGGTCGACGGCATTTGCACCTATACGAAGACATCACATTAATAGAAATAATAACTAAGATATCGAAATCTTTCACCACGGGAATTATGCTTGCACTTGCTCTAATTCATTAGAACCACGTCCGGCGTAATCGCTTCTTGGTTACAAAGGCATCAACGGATCTACATAAATCGACATGAGATCGATATGAAAATCGGTCACAGATTTACTATTAATATTAATAATACAAGCATTCCCATTCGATATTATTAAGGTCGGCGAAAGTGAGCTCTCCAGTCATGATCGCACCAACACTTGACTTATCATGATTGCAGAACCCCTCGGTGCATCATAATCACAACATAATATAAAGCGATTTAAAACCAACACTTACTTGTGAACAAGAACTATAAGTTGTGTTCATATACGTTGCCCCAAGATGATAGTCAATCTCCATCACCATTTTGTGGGTTGCTGCAATATAAATATCAGTTATATTAACAAACAACATCAATTAAATAAATAAATTATTTGACTTTGACTAGGATGTTACTTTGTCTGGTCAACTTTGCGGAATTAAGCACCATAGAGTCAGAGTAAGTAGGTACTATTAAGAGTATTAAGACTTAATGTGCTATAAATACTATTAAGAACGGATCATAGAAGAAAAAAGTTAAATGATATCCAATAACACTCACTATTGAACTGTTCCACTTTAACTGGCTTAATAAAATCGCTCTGCCGCGGCGAACAAGTCATGCCGCAAATGTGCTTCAAAAAATTATCCATACAAGATGGACAACGGGCCAGGATCTCCGCCATCTTGATGCTGGTTTGGATGTTTTGTAGTTGCTTCGTGTCACAACACGTCAATCCATCTTTGGCTAACTCTGGACAATATTTCTCTAATATTGTCTGTAAACAAAAAAAAAATCACAATGACACAACGGGTAATAAAGCTGAAGACAACTAACATAGCGTTGTAGCAGTGCATATCTAACGGAAGATCTGACGCGTACCTAACATCAGAACTGCCAAAAATACATCTAACCATAGACTCGAAACCCATGATCCAGTTTGCAGCCTTATATGTAAAATTCATACCAGCTAAATCTATGAGCTGGGAGTTTAATTCAGCTCCCTTTTCAGTAGCAAAACAATTAATCCAGTCATCGACATTGATGGGATCGAAAAAAATTAATAATGACCATTTTTACAGCGAAACTACAAAAAATAGCCGATAAAACTAAGCAACCTGGGACATTTTTTATCTAACCACAGAAAGTAAAAATTGAGACAAGAGTTATAAAACTATTTATATAACTAACATTGATGCTAGACTTTGTAGTACTACCCTCTAAACTAAAAAAATAATGTGGTTTGTTTAATATTATTCTGAAGCAAAATGTAATATAATTATACTTCTGTATATTTTCTATTATCATAGTAATTTACTGACTTAAAAAAGGAGGTTATTATCAATTTAATATGAATGTATGACCTTTTTATAATTCGATTTTATATAAGATAATCTATTTATTACGATCTTTTTGAAGTCGTTTTTTTATTTTTTTCCCAGTTCAAACGCAGTTTGACGAGGCTAAATAAAATAAATCTAGCTTGTTCAACTGATTTGCTACCATTATACGATTAAAAACGACTATTATACGTCCGTAACGGTATCATCTCACAGGCCACTATCAAGGAGCCTTGTCTCCATAAACAAATCTAATCGTCTACAAAGATCAGTGTACGAGTGGGGGTTATCGCGTCTCCCGGACATTAGTCTGACATTTACACTAATGTCTCACTATAACCATTACTGTTCGTCGATGAATTAATAATTCCAATACAAAGATTTACAGCCGATCGATGAGATACGTTAATGACCGGAATGTTTAGTAGGACAATTCCACAGTTCTCGTTATTACAAAAAATATAAATATATCTGTCACCATTGGATATTGGACTACAGGTCTATAGTACAAAGGCGAAATGCGAGTATCTACTTGAGATTCTATTGGGATGCACTTATTACGTAAAAATTAGCAGAATTGAGGCCTAGCCCTCATGTAGATCACGGTCAAATATTTGCTTTATGACTGAACTACCCTTTACTGTTTAAACTGATAATTATTCATGCGTCTACTTCAGAGAAGCGATCCGATATCTACAACCGGGCAACCGTGAATTTATCGGCTACGCGTGGTTACTGAGGTGCAGTCCGTCTGATAAAAACCTTGGATGTAAACGTTAATAACTGGCAAGTCACGAAACAAGGGTTGTTTATTCGCCGCACAGCGTGACCGTAAACAGTAGAAACAGGGGCCGCTGACCTCATATGTTTGCAAGGCTAAGGAAGTTTATTTCTTGCTTTGGTTTCTATGGTTAAGATATCTATAGAAATACCGTCAATTTATTTATCATTAACATGTTTTACGGTTTAACGGACTTTAAAGTCTGTCTCAGGAGCCTCAACAGAGGCATATCCTGACTCTAAGACTTTAATAAGTAAGATATTAAAAGACAGCAACGCATCCGTGGCGAAGACAACTCGTCCTCGTGGTGCACTATAAATGCCGGAGTCACTCAGGGTGGCATCTTATCTCCTATTCTCTTCTCTATGCTAATAAATTCTATCAAACAATCACATTCTAGCTCCTATCACTTTTATGCTGATAATACTCAAATTTATACCCAGGCATCGTTGATGGATCTTTCCGATGCAGTGGCAGTTACCAATTCCGACCTCTGCAAAATCTCCAATTGGAGTAAATCATTTGGTCAAACCTTCGAAGACTCAAACCATAATAATTGGCAGTTTTTATTTCGTTTCGAGGATCGATTGTGAACATTCGCCTTCTGTTACATTTGACGGCATCATCATACCATTTTCTTAATCTGTCAAAAACCTCGATGTGATTTTTGACCAGTGCCTTTCTTGGAAATCTCATCTAGAATCGCTCAGAAAGAGAATGTTTGCCGCGTATGACTCACTCAACCGACTGCGCAACTTTTTACCCACACACGCGAAAATTGCCCTGGCTCAAACCCTCTCGCTTTCAGTCCTTGACTACACTGATATTTGTTACACTGATTTGTCGGAATACCTCACAAACTGGACGTCGGATGGCAATGATTCTTTTAAAATGGAGTAAAAATTTATAAACTTTTTGTTAACTAACTTCAAAAACGGAGATTATCTAATTGATCTGCATGTTTTAAACATCTTTAAAGAAATGAGATTAATATATTTTGCATTCACAATGCTATAGTCAAAAATATCCTTAATGCAAATAAGAACAAATGTTCATCTTTATCGAAAGTTTAAATATTTCTAAACATATTTCTTTCGGCTGTTTGGGTGGATTGCCTGAACATTGATGAAAATACGCTCTATAGTAGCGAAAAAGTAACAAGTGCTTGATAAATTTATCAGTCCTGTTAGGTCCTGAGTAACTCAGCGGCTAGAGCAGTCGCCCGGATTGCGAAGGACATGGGTTCGAGTCCCATCTCATGGTGCCAGGGAGAAAGTTGATTTTTAAGCATTTTTCATTAAGAAATGAGGTTATCAATGTGACCTGTATATACATATGTAATTATGCAATACAGAGCAATATTCATATACCTGTTAGTATATACGAAGGTCAAACTGAAAGTTCTTAGAACTGGCCACTTATAAACAATATAATAAAAAAATAATTCTAAAATTTGAAAATATAACTCTTTGCCAATATTACTGAGTATATATTTCATTCATTTGTCATTTGTTTTACGATTTGGCGGCAAATTGAAAATTGTCTGTGTCACGTCATCATGAATTTAACACGAGAAAATTTTCGTGCAATGATTTTTTATGACTTTCGATGTCATTTAAGTCAACAAGAAAGTTATGATAGACTACGATTGGCCTTTCACGATGAAGCCCCATCTCGTGCGACTGTTTACAACTGGTTTAATGAGTTTAAACGTGGTCGCACTAATCTCACTGATGATTTACGTGAGGGACGGCCTTCTACGGCGACGACTGAAGATAACATCTGTGTTGTGCGGCGTATGATAGAGACTGACAAAAGAGTGACCTATCAACAGATTCGGACAAGCTTAGGCATCGGTATGAGTCAAGTGCACAAAATCCTCCACGAACATTTAGCGGTCAGGAAGCTTTGCGCCCGGTGGATACCTCATAATTTGACTGAGGCTCAAAAACTCCATCGTGTGGATTGGTGTCGTAAAATGATTGAAAGATTTAACGGAGGTGACTCAAATGCTGTGTTCGACATACTAACAGGTGACGAAAGCTGGATTTACTGTTATGATCCTAAAACCAAAAGACAATCTGCTCAGTGGGTGTTTCCTTTCGAGGAGTTGCCAACTAAAGTGAAGAGAGATCGAAGTGCGGGAAAAAAAATGGTGGCCTCGTTCTTTGGAAGGATAGGTCATTTTGCAACAATTGTGTTAGAGGATCAAAAAACAGTTTCTGCAGAATGGTACACTACCAATTGTTTGCCACTTGTCTTGGAAAAAGTTCGAGAGAAACGACCTCGCAGTAGGATCCTCCTTCACCACGACAACGCCTCGTCGCACACCGCCAAGCGAACGATCGACTATTTGGCGACATCAAACGTTGAATTACTGGGTCACCCGCCGTATAGCCCCGACCTCGCGCCTTGTGATTTTTATTTATTTCCAAAAATTAAAGAAAAACTTAAAGGAAAGCGGTTTATGAATGCTGAAGAAGCGGTGGCTGCGTATCGCGATGCCATTGAAGAGACCCCTAAGGACGAGTGGGCAAAGTGCTTTTCCCAGTGGTTCCATCGCATGCAGCGGTGTATTGACGTGAATGGACAATATTTTGAAAAGATATAATAAAACTAATAACTGGCTAATGTAATCAGTTTTTGATTTTCTAAGAACTTTCAGTTTGACCCTCGTATACGCTTCTAAACACGTGTGCTACATTTTGTGTGCCTATATTTTTGACAACATATTTCTCTAAAATTAGACATTGGACTGAAATGATACTTTTTTGTTTGATTTACTATTTTCAATTTAGGGAACAACATAACAGAAAACTTACAAAATGGCTTAAGAAATTAACTGTTACCAGAATACCCCCCTATTGTTTATTAATAATTTATTTTTCTTTCGTCATGTGTTGCCTGGAAGAGATTGCTGCGTATAATTATGGCCGCCCTTTGTGTACTCTCCTCTTTTTCTAGATTCTCTATTATGTTCTGTGTAGTGTGCAATAAATATTAGTTAAATATAATATTATTATATTTAACTAATGATATAAAAATAATCGTATAAAATGTTTCAAACTATTCCCGCAAATTGAATGTAACAGCATTCGCAGAAACCCTTATAAAAAGTTCTTAAACCAGTCTTCGATAGGGACGTCTTCAATGACTTCGAGGAACGCATTCAACCCGTTTTAGGCCTCGTAATACAAGACCCTTTTTGTTATTTTTAAATTTTTGGAAACAAAATTAAATCATAATTTGAAGCGTCTGAGCTGAGTATTGTGGAATCGACATCAGTTTTACATTGCGGATTGTGTATTTAAGTATGTTTTGAAAATAAACTTAAAAAAAATAAACAATATTGCGTCGAGGTCGTTTTCGCAGATTTTGTATAAAACTGGAGATAAACACCGGACAGAAATTCTTCGGTACATCTCTATATAATTATAAAACAAATAGTAACAGTAAAATAGAGCGCAAGATTTTTAAACATTTATGTTAATGTTAGTAACGCCAAAAAACTTAAGAATTAGTAAAAAAAAATCAATGAACATCAATTCAAGACCTTCAGTTCTTTGACTGAGCTACAAGAATAAAGCTTTATAAAAAAAAAACAAAGGAGAAGCCTTTGTTTCATTCTAAATACCTGTCCGATAACGTTAAGGTGAT